TATTATTAATACTATAGGATTTCATTCTGATGAAAAATGCATTTTTCAGTTCATATATATAGTTAACGTAGAAGGATATAATAATACTAATACCTCAAAAAATTATACAGCTTTTGCATGTTGTTGTTATCTGTTGTTCTGTGATTTTATTTATGTTGTATATTCAATGAAAAATGTGTATTTCTCTATAAATGTACCGATATAGTTGGCCTAAAAAAATTATTTTTATGGATGATACATCAAAAAATTATAATTAATACTGTGAAAAAATTTTGTGATTTTATTTATTTTGTAAAATAAATAAAAAAATATAACAGTTTGTTGAATCTTGTCTATCTCTGGAAACTTGTTTTGTGAATTTTTCCTTTTACTTAGCAAAAGTTTTTTCTCTTTTTGGTTCGAAAAATCACAGTTGCTTTTAATGTTTTTGAAAATATTTCAAAAAATTAGTTGTCGAAAAAATTTTTTTTTATTTCTTTCAATAAGCAGAGTTTGTACAAGTGGTTTCACTTTTTTTTCGAATTAATTTCAGAAAGAAACACACACCAGTTTTATGATCAACACAATGTTAATTAAGGTCACCAGTCACCCTCAAAACTTGAGGACAGTCCTCGAATTTTATTGATTGTCCTCAAAACTTTCAAACTGTTTGAGGACAGAAAATATCCACACATTTCAACATGTGTCCTCAAATGGTCTCGAATTTCGCCGAAAACATAAAATCTTTTTTATATGCAGTGAATATCAAACAAACAAAAAAGAGAAATGCGCCATCCTTTTTTTTAAAACAAAATAGTTTTGTCTGACAAAGAATACAAACGAAAAGCCAAACAACATTACGTTAAAATCAATAGACGAAAATGCCATACTCGTTTTGAAATAATTTCATCAGAAAATAAACTAATTTTGATTATCATGTACTCATTCATTTTGACCGAATTCAAATGCAAAATATTATATATTTCAATATTACTTAGTAATGAAATCAAGTGCGAAGTTGATGGTTCTGCACCTGATATTAACTATCAATTTTTTTAAAAAAATCTTTGTTGTTGCACGCATAACTCAATATTTTCCATAAATATATGGGTATCCTCAAATCGTAACATTTCTTGAGGGCGTTCCACTGATTTGTTCTCAAATCATGGTTTATAAATCTAGTCACCTTACCTTACGTATCTTCTAACATAACTTTTACGTTTCTTGCAGTAAACATTTTTCAATGGCAATGAAATAACAATTAGATTTATTTAATTTTGCAGATATTTCATTCAGCCAGTACTGAGAAGTAATCTCTCATAATTTCTAATTCTCCCTTATTCCATACGTTGGCATTATTTGTCTACGTTAGCGAATACAGGGAAAGGTTGCTATTAGACCTGAAAATTTAAATTTTCATTTAGCACGTTGAATGCTATGGAGGTCACCGGTGACCGGCACTGAGTTTGTTCGTAGCGCCAGAGTAGTCACCGGTGACCGGCGAAGCCAAGATTAACAGAAACACATAATTCGAATTATATTATTATCATTACTAAAATGGTTTGAAGAAATTAACGCAATATGGAACACACAAAAATAGTTTTATTTATACACACAGAGATGCCAATTTGCTCCGGACAACAAATAATTATTTTCAAGTGGTAGTTTATTAATTGTGATTCTTGGTTTAATAAATTCAATTTAGTAGATTTTTATCCACCACTATTTCTAAACAATTCGTAGGTTTATATAATTCATCACTTTTTTTCAGATATGTTATGCTAAACCTTTTAAAAAACTAGCAAAATCTGTCAAATTTACAAATTTAGTTTGTAGTTATTTACCGTTTGGTAAGGCGGTCAAGCCATGTAAAATTAGCGTGGCATTCATCTTGTTAATAGCCAGTGACCGGTAGATTACATACATCTTGCTAGTTACTTTCAATCAGTCTAACTCAGTGATTATGAATAGGTTGGTGAACTGACCACAGATACATTTCGATATAAACATATGTACTACTTTTTTTATAAATGATTTTTTTTTTCTTGAAAATGTCAAATCGCCCAGTCTTACCCTACTCGTAGGACGACACCGGGTACCCATGCTAACTCTAAAAAAAATTTCTAAATACTAGAATTTTAGTGACAAAGTAGCAGACATTTTTATTTTATATGATAGTTTAAGAAAATTATACATACAGTTTACATGTGATGTAGTCAAGACCGTATTCAAGGTGGAGAGTGAGGGACATTTCACTTGGAACTGATGAGAGCCCGACCGAAATTCCTTACAAGAATATAGTGTTCATTAATTTGTTTGCTTTTTTCTTAGAAAAATCAGAGAATTTTTATTTTTACTTTATATCTATATAAAAACTACAGTTTTGTATAAAGGATCTACATAATATGAAAGCAAGGTTTTATGTGCTTTGAGGAAAGGGAAGGAGCCCGCAATAAAATTTTACCTGGGGCCCGTAAAACCATTGTGGAGACCTTGGATGCAGTTATCTTTTTCCGTATACTGCTTGTTAGGGAATGAATCTTCAATTAAAGTATAATACGCTGGACCCAAAATAATTTTTATAACTGTAATTTCCAATAAATAAGACTAGCTTAAAAACATTGAACGTTAGAGAATTGACATTTGCAAACCTAACTTATCCACATAGATACCGTGAATTAATCAACAAAAACAAGTCAATATGGTAGTTCTTTTTTCTTAACAGTGTAGAGTGTAATTCAGAGTTTGTCCGCTAGAAAACAGAACTAATTTCGATACAATTGAGGTACCTGATCTCACCACACTACCCCCCCCCGCGGGCTTACAGCACTCTCCCCTATATATATATATATATATATATATATATATATATTTGGTCAGCTATTTTAACTATACCTAATATTCATTCTTATTTTGTTATTAATGTAAAAAGTTTTTTACAAATATATCGTTAATCCTCATATTGAGAGGTACAGATTTCTTTTGATTTATTGATAATTTTTAACTTTATATAACATAATTTATGAAAGCAAAAGTAATTGATTTTTATTGAAGGTTGAAAAAATTCTTATGTTTCTACCTTCACAATATAATATATATGATATTATTTTATATTTCATTCAGTTTTTATAAAAGGAATTAGGTAAGAAATAATATTTATATTTCTGTTGATCATATGACCTATTTTATTGGCGATATTTTTAATATTCAATATAAAAAATTTTTTTCTGTATTTATTTTATTGATATTCATTATATTTGTTACATAATAAATTAACGGGTAAAAATTTAAAATGATTAAAATTTTAAANAAATAATTAACAAATTAAGAAAAGAAAATCAATCAAAATCATCAGAAAAACTCACTAAGTCACAGGTCAAGCATCAACTTCAAAAGCAAGTAGAGGAAAAGAAAACACTAAAAACTGAAAAACCAACGCCCCCTATTATAATGCGCAGAAGAAGTTTAAAATGAAATGGAAAAGGTCAGGAGAAAGAAATACGTAGACAAATTAAGACATTAATTAAGAATACATCCTGTATACCAGAGGAAACAATAGCTTTATTTAAGGAAAAGATCGAGCCATAGTTCATTATATGATTTAAATTACAGTGTACTACTAGCTATAACTTCAGAATTTAAAAGTCAAACTAGTGTGACATAAAGATTCAAATTATTCACTTAATTATAACCTCCATAATAAGTGATTTATTATATATGTAAAGCGCCCGTATAAAAAAGGTGATAATGCGTATTTGTTTATAATAAATTAATATTTCTTACTATCACCTACCACTTTTTAGTTTTCAAAAAGTCCCACACTTTAACTTCACATCTAATTACAAATATTTATATCATTAAAATATTTTGGTAGACAGAAATATTTAGTTTCTGTAAAATAAATCCTTATAAAGAAATTATTACTCTTTTCTTCTTTTATAAAAGGAACCCCTCTTTGAAAAGGAAGCCAAGCAAAAACGGGTTGACGGCCTAGCAAAACGACCACAAAATTGGCCCTTAAATATAAAACTATATGAAAAAAAATTCTGGTACTACATTGTTTTGGCTTTATTTTCTGGAGAAAAAAATTATGAAATGGTAAGAAATAAAATACTAAATCGTTGGTTACTTTTGTTACTTTTGGTTACTTTTGGATTTTTGGTTACCTTTTCTAACATTTTTTTTTATGGGCTAAAAACGAGATGTGTGGCATAAAGTGGCACTTTATATGAAAGTTTATCTTATTTTATAACCGTCGTTGAATAGCCGTCCCAAATTTTTTGGGTTTACGACTACTTATGTTCAACTCCGTAGCCTTGTAATTTTGAACCTAATCCAGAAGACAATTGAACTCCTAGATCAAATATTGAGAGAAATTTGTCTTCGTGGAGGACTTTTTGATGGAACTAAACCGCATGGAAAGAAAAACCACAAAAACCTCCCACGGTTAGCCTGACGGTAAGAGGACTGTAACCCATGATCCGTCTACCACTGAGGATATTTTTGCAGCACTGTAGTCGGTGCGTGCCGGGTAAGGAATTAGTATCGACCAGCCATCCCTGGAATTCGAACCCGGTTCACCTCATTGGAAGGCGAACGCTCTATCCCCTGAGACACTACGGCTCTATATGAACTTTTTAATTATTTACGCTTATAGTGGTGGGCAATATTTTTTTAACAATTTTGCTAAGCCATAAAACATGAATTTCGTAAAAAAAAATTTAAAAAAACATTTCCACGAAGTGAAGTAAATTAGCAATTCCGGATTTAAAGTTTTTGTTTTATATTTGTCTGTGATCACACAGAGACAACTTTTTATAGGCTTGAAAGCCGATTTTCACGACACACCTTGACATTCATTTTTTTTATTTATTTAGCATTCCAATGTAAACAAGCATTTTAATGATAGCGGCATTCATGTCAATGACTTCATATAGTAAAAATAAATTAGGTCAATTTCCTCGAATATTCTATTTCATTTGCGTCTATTATAATTCCTAAAGCAACCCAAGATGTATAAGTGTGGTTAGCCTAGGGCAGAAAGAAACGAGTTGTCTACATCCTGAGAGTTGGGCAACATAAGTGAATGTCATACTTACTAAAAACAGAGTGTTAGTGATTAGCTGCAACAATTTACAGATAAATTTTTAATTGTGTTTTTAATTGCTCCTTATCAGGTAATTATCATGTGTTTTTTAATAATTTCTTTAATAACAATTAGTTTTGTTAAAAAAATAAATGATAATTGATAAATATTGAAAGTGATTCAAACTAAAATAGATAGGCTGGAAAAATTGTAATTTCTGAACAGAGCCGTAGACAGCAACCGGTAACAGTTTTTGCGTCTTCTATTGTATATCAAACTTAAAGAGCTTTTCGAGACCAGTTTAAGTTTCAGATAATATACAAATCCACCGCACTTGTCTTCGGATAGTCAAATTTTACAGTGAAGAGGAGATTGAAAATTTTAATAATGTTTTTTAAAACAACATAACTCGATAACTTCATAAGTTTTTTACTTAATTCAATTAAACAGTGTATGTTATTATTGTAGTTTCAAATACACTTAGTTATTTTCGATCGCGTTTATTGGTTTCGATTAATTAATTGATAAAAGCGTACCTAAAGGCAATTTTTAAATCAATATGTCGTCAATTTGTTAAAAAAAATTAAGAAAGACATTCGTAATCAATCACAATAATACTTGGCATTCAGTTCAATTTTTAGGTAAACCGGATTAAAATTTAAAGAAGTTATAGAACTCATAATTAGCAAATGAAACTAATGATATTTAAAAGAGAAAAAATTTTAATCTGGAATTCATAGTTCGGCGCGCCTATAAGGTCCCCACTTAACATTTGCTGCAAATCTTATATAAGATTTGACAATATTGGAGAGAGTGATTTTTTTTAACTTTCTTTTTTTTAAACATGCAAAGTTTGCTTAAAATTCGTCCCTACTTGATATTCAAGTTTACTGTTTCGTTACTTTGGAAGATAAGAAGGATTACGTAGTAGCCATTTAACAGTTTTGAACGAAAAGAAATTAGCATGTTGAGAGGCAATAATAATACTTTTTTAACAATAATGTTTTACATTATCTCTATTCTAAAAAAAATTACTTTCTTTGTTGATAATATTGAATATATCTAATTTATACTTAACATAAAAGTAATAATGTTGGTATAATATTATTATTATTATTTTTTGACAAATTAATAATAAGTATATTATTTATACGTTTCCTTTGATACGCATTAGAAAAAAAAGGTTAGGGCATACAAAAAGTTTCTTTTAGGCCTCTATTTTGTAGACTAACATATACGGTAGATATATGTTAGTCTACAAAACAGAGCATGTAAAATTTTTAAGATTTTTTTACCACCGGTATATTTAAAACAAACAATTAATATATTAAATGCCTGAAAATCTATGTACACTAATGTATAATTATGTACATAACAATAACTATTGGAAAGTGTAAATTATACTTTTGAACAAACGAACATTTTTTTCCATTTTAAAAGTTACATTTGTTTTTATTTTATTTGAGTGCCTTCATCTTTTTAAGATATTTTTTAAATTTGTTCAATTAAATCAAAAATTTCGAAAAACTATTATTTTAATTTTCATGTTACTGAAACAGAAACATTTTGTTTTGTTGTTATAATTTGAGAGGTTTTTTTCTTCTTTTTTTTCCCCGTAAACCTTTGTGAACAATTTTGGGTCGTAATGTAAAATTTAAAATAATAAATAAATACGTGAGATTTGATAAAAGCAGTTTTCTGATAATTGTATTTACTAAAATATTTTCAGAATACAAACAGAATCAAGGCCAGACTAAGCAAGGTGTTAATAGTATTTCTCAATGTTAATAATAATAATTTCTAAAACCCAACAGATTGCGTTCTGCGCAGTAATACAAAAGTATTAATAATAATCAGTTTCCCCTATGGCACTGTATCATGAACATCTTCCTTGTTTTTGTTATTAAACATATTATGTTAAAGGCATTTGTAATGATCTAAAACCCCGAGATCATAAATGGGTTCGGTGAAATTGTAGAGTTTCTTATGTTCCAAAGGTTTCATGGATATTCTAAATAAGCCACTTCAATTGCAAATCAATATGAAAAAAAATTGCCTAAATTACTCAACCAAATCATCATGCAAACTTTACAATATATTGTTTTTATAATTGCTTGTAAATTCATAGTTTGATTTCACATTTAGAGTAACGAGCTGGCTGTAGTGCTAAAAAAAAATTATTAAAAGAAAAGAGTATATTCGAACTAAAACTTCTATATATTTATTAAAAAAATAAATCTCTTAATTCAATTTTCGTTTGAATCGTTAAAATTTTGCAGTAAGAACATAATTTTTTCAATTAAAATGTTTTATACTTATTGCAAATTTATTATCATTTTATAAATTAACTATTTTTCATACTTTTTCAAGTCATTATTTAATATTTTATGTTAACCCGCATTCGTCATTTTCTCGTCGTTCGCAATTAACGGTCCCTACAACTTTCAAGATATTCTTCATATAATAATGTGGTTATCGTCCTATAACGAACATTTTAGACGATTATATTTTCAATTTTCCTCATTTTTGGAATTTCTTTTATGTTTATCATTTTTATTTTTGCAATTTTTGAAGAAAGTTGCATTCAAGAGTTGGAATTCCTGTGTAACCGAGAGCTCTCCCACTTATTGGAACCATCTACATTATTCAATTCAGCGAATCTTTATTTATCAATTTATAATATGTATTACTCGATTTTTAATTAAAAGTCATAATTATAATGTACTTTTGAGCTAATTATTCAGTATCAGATTTGATTTTTCTGCAGATTCGTCTAGTAGTCCCCCCGCCTATACAGGGCAGCAGTATACTATGTACAATTTAAAGCAGATGTTCAAAGTGTCCGCCGTGTATGTCGAGGCAGGCTTGAGCACGCCGTGGATATGTCCAATAAAGTGTTTTTTTCTTGCACCGGCAGTGACGTCATACTTTGTTTTTCGTATTTTTCTCGTTAACTGTGGATCGTACAGGAACGTTTCTTTGGGCAGTTTTTATGTACTCCCAACGAGGAATCTAGCTGTGCAGAGTTTATTCGGTCGTTTTGGGACACCCTGAATAAATCTTCCTTCAAGGGGAGTGAGGTGATCAATTATTATATTCCCTTATACACCAACACCTGGAAGAGAGAAGACTGCCTCATGGATCAATTTAGTAGTCAGACAAAACGGACACAAACCACGCAGTGGTGGTTATTAAGAAAGATGTAAACGTTCGTTCTACTCTATTTTCGCACTCTCGTCCGAAAAGCAGGTATTCAGCTAATAAAAAATATATTAAAATTAAACAACTTCGATACATTGCTCAGAGCACTCTTAAGTATCTAGAGATTTAGCAACACAAATTGTCAGGTTATACACAGTTGGTAATTTATTTTTTATACCTAAAATGTTGAATTTTAAGCTTCAGTTTTACACGTAGTCAGGATCTATATATCGTGTTTGACTCTCAAAAGTAAAAGCTAAGCGCAAAAAATGCCCTCTTCATTAAAGTGAAAGAAAAACACATTTTAAGACCAATTTCAGAGGCTGTGTGTATTATTAAAAAAATACTTATTAAGCCCAATTTTTGAAGGTCACGCGCAAACCTTTCTTTCAGTTGTCATAGATTTAGAGTGTTAAAAATTAAATTAATACCAAAAATTGAATTTATATTAGAAAACTATATTAAAAATGACCATTTTCAGATTCTCTGTAGGAGCTAAGTTTTGAATTAAAAACTTATTACTTGGCAATAAATCATATATAGGCAGTGGGTATTAGACGCTTTATTACCAGAGAGCTTAAAAAATGATATAATAGTAAAAAAGAAAAAAGAATACAAATAACGTACATGTCAAATAATAACATGAAGAAATAATCACTGAGTAATTGTTGTTGTATATTTTTTTTATTCAAACTCTAAATAATAATAACTGACAGAATTAATGTATGTTTTAAGATCGATATAGTTTTTAAAAATTCAAATACTGTTAAACATCACTATTGTTAGGCATCAAAATTATATGCGGGAATTTACGTTCGTATTATAAGTAATATTTGAGCCACTACCTTATGGGACAGTGGACATGTTGGTTGAGGGGGTGGATAAAAGTGTACCATAAAGTGGGGTTACTTTGGGACTTTTTTTGATAACTTGTTTAATTGCAAGGTTGCGCTCTGAATGTTATATATATATATATNATATATATATATATATATGCACAACTCTTTTTTTTCCGCGTTAGGTATAAAAAATTTATTTCATATGATAAGGGAATTGCTTTTAAAAAAGAAAAGAAAAATATTTTTGAGTCTCTAACTCACCACGTAGGGTGGGGTAGCTCTCCGTCATCTTTTTTATCGCCTTAAACATTACTGAAGCCCACAGTAAATTTTCTGATAGCAAATAAAAACAGAATTTTTTTTGAATAACTCAAAAACTTTTCAATGTGTATTTTTTTTAATAAATTTCTTAGGGGAAAATTAAAAAATATCCGAAATAAAAGTATTAAATTTATTTTTATAGTTATAAGTAATTCTATTGTAGTTACTATTTCTATTAATTCTATTTCTATTATTATTAATTACAATTAATTATACAATTACTTAAAAATTAAACTTTAAATTCAACATCAAGCAAATTATTAGAAATTTCATTTGGAAGAGAGATTTTTTTTAAAATTTGCTATCTCTTCTACCAAATAAAATCAGATACTTCACTGTTCAGTATATAGGCCGTTTTTAGCCTCTACAAAAGAGGGTGCCGCTCCTGGAATAAACACCTACAAACATTCTTTTTAACGTACATTTATTGAAATAGTGAAAAGAAACTTAATAGTACAACATTAAGTATTAGTTCCTTGTGTTTCATCATAGGATTACACTATTTTATTTATCTTCCTTTAATATTGTAAATTGATATCAGCAAGCAATCTTCTTAACGTATTCTTCTTAACATTTGTTGAAATAGTGAGAAAAAAAGCAACTTAGTAGTTCAACATTAAGTATTAATTCTTTATGTTGCATCATTGGACTGTTTTATTTATCTTCCGTTAATATCCTGACCTCGGAAAAATCAGTTTGTCTTTACGGTTATGATTACAGCCTACAGTATGATAAACAGGAATGAATGACACATTATCCGAAATTGACACACAGTCTAAATCAAAAGTAAAATATTGTTGGTTATCATAATATATAAAATAAACTAAAGACATAAAGGTTTGAAATTATAAATAAAAATACGTTCATTATACTGGGAATCTGAATAAAAGAAAACAAAAAGAAGCATAATCAAATAAAAATAAAAAAAATTTTTAAATTATAAGTTATCACTGAAATGACAACTGTTTCAAAACCTAATTCTGCCCCGGAGACTACCAAAAAATTTCTAAAAGAAAAAAACCCTTTATTTTTGATATAGCTGGTTCCAGAAAACGTGAGTATCGCAAAATAACACCATTTAACGGAAATAGTTTAAAAACTTTAACGAATATTCAAATATGTCCATGAACATTTTATGGATAAAAGTTTCAAATTCTGAAGAATATCACATAATTTTTCAAAATTTCTCAAGAATTACTGAACAAATTATTCTGTAACTTTACATATTTCTCATTCAAATACCCTTCTATTACAAGCACCTTTTTAAGATATAGCCAAGAGAAGATTTAGGAGACCAGTAAAAATTACAAACATGAAAATATATTTTTGAACACGAAAAATAGCACTCAATTTGTAAATTTTACTCATACTACGTTATACAACAATATATTTCGCTTTGTAAACCAAACGTGTGTATTCACAAAGACAGGGGCTCCCATCAGGGGGGAAGGTGGGCGCACAATGCACCCACTTAAGGCTTGGGAGGGAATTTTTACACCATATAAAACGAATAGTTTGGGGGGGGGGGAATTTTGACGAGAGAATTTTTTTTTAAGTACATAAATAAAAGAAGCAGCGTAGCTCTATTTCGAACAAGCTAACATGGAAGGGGGAAGTTAGCAAATTTTTTTTGGGGAGGGGGATGAATGCGCCCAAGAGCTTGGGGGGGATGGGGGCCACTGCACAAAGATATGAATGTATCATCAGGAATAGAAGTAACAATTTTAAAAAAGGGGATTTCTTAAAAAAAAAATTATATAGGAAAATCAAAAATATTGCTTAATGCATATTTTTTAACATAATCAAAACTAAAATTATTTAACAATTAGAAACTTACCTTAATTAATATCTTATTTCAAATATTATTATCAAAAAAGTTAGGAAGATTCTAATAATAGATTAGTAATATCAAACTAACATATTTTATTTTCTCATTTACTGGACTAAATTGAAAATACAATTAAATAATCTTTGAAGTTATTTTTTAAGGAAACACATTCTTTCGCAATTATCAACTTTTTGTGGCCAACATCTATTACAGCCTAATCTGCTTCTACTTCTTTAATACATTTTCGTTCTATTCCAGTTACGAGACATTGGTTGCCTTCATCAATCATTGACTGGGGGTCAGGATAGCCTGGTTGGTAGGGCACTGGGCCCATGTCCAAGAGGTCGTGGGTTCAATCCCCGCCGGTTGAAGACTCTCCGTGTAGTAAATGGTGACTGGTGCACGCTAAATCTGGCGAGTCACAAAGTGCTCCATGTTCCCATAACAAATCATACACCTGGGGGTACTGATCTAGGAGTTTCCTTGTCTTCTGTATTGGTTCAAAATTACAAGGCTACGGAGCAGAACATAAGTAGTCGTAAACCCAAAATTGGGTCGGCTGTTCAACGACAGTTATAAAATCATTGACTTGGAAACCGTGGTGGCTCAGGGGATAGAGCTTTCGCCTGCCAATGAGGTGAACCGGGTTGGATTCCCGGTGATGACTGGTCGATACGAATTCCACACCCGGCTTGGACCGACCACAGTGCCGACTATCCTCAGTGGTAGACGGATCATGGGCTAGACTCCCCTTGCCATGGCAGGTCTTTGTGGTTTTTCCCTTCATGCAACGCAAATGCGGGTTAGTTCCATCAAAAAGTCCTCCACGAAGGCCAATTTCTCCCACTACTGGATCCAGGAGTTCCATTGTCATCTGGATTGGGTTCAAAATTATAAGGCTACGGAGTTGAACATTAGTAGTCGTAAATCCAAAAGATTGGGTCGGCTGTTAAAGGACGATTATAAAATCAAATAAAATCTAGGACTGTGAGCCTGATACTCTCCCATTCAAATCAGAATGTCTATAGGGTATAGATTGCGGTATATTTTTAAAACATTTTATTTATTCTAAAGTCTTTTGAGCTTTTGTGTTTACCTCGTAAGTTTTAATAATTTCTTGAGTAATGCAAACATCCAAAGCCTTTCCTTTTACAGCATCTTTGATAATTCTAATTCTCTTGATGGTGTTCAGGTTCATCCTTTATTTCTCAGATGTGACAATTCTTTTATTAGCAGAGAAACCTTTCAGGGAAGGCCCAGATTATCTTTTAATTCGAAAACTTCGTTCCAGAAATAATTAATAAGTTTTCAGAAATTTCCAGTCTAGTATGTCATCGTCGTTTACATAGAGATTCCGCGAATCTGTAACTTTATCAGCAGAATATTCAATTGTTACTTGAGGAAACATTATTGTCTTATGATAGCCAGTGTATGTTTTACAGATTCTTTACTCATTATGGGATGTAAAGTCTGTAAATTTTGTTTTCGAAAGGCAATTTCTCTAAAAGAAAATGGGCAAATATAATATAAAACTGTTTTGCGTCGGGTAAAAACATCTGCTTTCAAACGTTAACTGAGGGTTCCTATGAGCAGTTTACCCCTTTTCCAATATGAAGATATTTGGATATTTTGAAGGAAAAAAAAATTAGAACTATTTCGATTATATAGGATGTTTTTTAAGGTTTTAAAAATATTAAGACAATATAGGATTCACAGGAAGATTTTGCTCTGCTGTATCTTTTACCAAAATTGAATTTTTTGCTACATGTATCTTACTTTATATTAAATATTATTATTACTTTACTTACTTTGTAACTAATACCATAAATGCTACAAAGACCCTAAATAATTTCATTAAAATGAGAGACACACAAATTAAATTTTGTGATCTCTGTATGAGATTTAATTTTAACCAAAATTTTTCAAGATCAATCAAAATCAGCAGCTGTTTGAAAATATTGAATCATTAAAAGCTAGCCATGGCACTCTATTCGGAACTATACTTCTGTACAAATAGACAGACATCTGTACAAAAATATTGCATCGCAGGCTCTAAGGATAAGCAACAAAAAAATTAGCCATGGTTTTTAAATCGAAACTATATAGGATTGACTTCTAGTTCTGAACTTTATTTATGCTGACTCTTGTATAGAACGCGGCATTCATAATCTATCAAATTGTTACACCCTCAACCCCTTTTGTTACATAATCAATGATAAACTTTTTAGGAAATCATAATGTTTATAAGTTAAAAAATCTAATTTTTATAAATGTTAAAATTCTGGATCAATTTATTTTGTATTTTGCAGGAGAGCTAAAAAGACATTTCTCGCACTATGGACCGGAAGAATATATGTGGATTAATTTTAATTCTTGTTTTGGACGAAGTTTTATGTACCCCTCTAAGGGATTTTCAACTGAAAGAGCATAACATCTACAGTATTAGTGAACAAGAATCTAGACAATTCATAGGATCTAGTGTTCTAGGTGGTTTAATGTTGCCACTGTTTTTCACATTAGCTGTGTCAAGAATCATGTCTAGAATTCCTAGTACATTTCAGCGAATAATAGCTGCTCTAAGACCATCCTACAGATCTCTAACTGATTATCAATTTGAACAATTAGAGGAAACTCTTCAACGCTTGGAAAATTCTCATGCATTTAAACATTTCAGATGAAGACATTACCTGTGTGTGCTTAAGAGACACCATTTTTGTAATATACTATCTACCAATAAATATTTAGACACCAGTGACAGAAAAAGAAAACAAATTTATTCATATAGTTGATAGAGCCTCCCTGATAAATAAATACAGTCTCAACTCTCAACTGTATGCTTTCTATAAATCTTTATATGATGGCTAGAGGCATTTTTTTTCACTTAGCTTGGAAAAGAGTTATAAATTCTTTCACCTATTTGGAATGGTAATTGCACCAATTAATTTTGTGATTCAATTTGCTCCATAGTTTCTGGATATGGTTAAGGTTTGGACTATGGGCAGAGCAGTTCTTTTGGTTTATTCCATTGTCTCAGTACTAATTCATGGCGGATCAGGCAACATGAAAACTAGTGTTATTCTCCTGGAAATAACAGGGATCCATAACCTGAAAACTGTCACATCATAGGAAGCACACTATCATTCAAAAAAGTGGAATAAGCTTCAGCATTGAACTTACCCTGAATTTGGAAAAAGAAAAACACTAGGAGAAACAATCTCAGTCTATAATATCACCTCCAATTATATGCATGGGTTCTCAAATCATTATCTGTAGGTAGTGTATGAAACCCCAAAGAAGGATAATTTAAAAAAAGTAATAAAAAATCTTTTTCAAAAATGATTAAATAAAATTGGTATAAAATTATAGCAATGCATAAATTTCCTTTTTAAATGTTTTTTTCCTTCATTTTTATAATATAACTTATAAAATTCATCTTTCAGCATAATGTACCTCAAAATAAAAGTGATTTTAAACATGAACTTTTAAAAGTGAAAACTAGTGAATCCTTATGTGGTATATAAAGAATCAAACATGATTCAGATTGTTTAATGTACTTTTTTTGCAGTTGAAAAAATGTAAATAAAAGTCTATAGCGAATCGAACCTTGTTACCTTTCAATGATTTTATTACAATTTTTAAAAAAACAAACTTTGACAAAAAGAAAATTCCCTAAACTACATTTAATTAGATTACTTATTAATAGAATGAAAAGCAAACACTTAGCAGGAATTATCTTATGTAAAAACATAATAATAAAAAAAGATTTTTCAAAGTTAGTGAGAAATGAAGTTGTCTTATAAGAAGTTCAAGAGCAAAAACATACTGATACCAATGAAGGACAGGGCAAGAGTTAAGTGGGCAAGAATAATGTAAAGGTCAAAATGATTTTTTGCATTTTGACATTTTAAAAGCAATTTTTCGCATGATTTTCAAAGAATTTTTAAGGAAACGTTTTTTTTTTATTTTGTATTTAATTCTAATATGTAATTCTTTAATTCTAATAATAATTTAATTCTTGGATTACGCAAATCATTTTATTAAATTGAAGATTAAAAAAAATATATATTTACAATTATTTTTACATTTTTTTCCTACACAAAAAAAAAAGATTATTTGACATTGCGGTAAAAAGGCAAAAGTGTGGAAATTTTAGCAAAAGATGACTTATAAGAGTCATCAAAAGGTAAATAATGAAATACAAAGTACTGATGATTAAAAACTATTACAAAATCAATTTATGTGAATCCAATTTATCTGTTGTTAAACCCTTACATTGGCCATTTCAGAATAAATATAAACACTTAGAATCCTTCATTTGCAATATTTTAAATGAAATGTCTTCAAAATTAACTCAAAAGTGCTTTTTTTTAAATATTAACAATTGATAATATCTATGTACTATTCTTCAGAAGTTATTAGTTTAAACAAAAGATCATTAAAAGAATTATATATTTCTAATTTCATTCTAAAATCCTCTGATATATTTTAACAAGCAAATCTGTTCAAAGAAACAGTTTGACTCAGTTGAAAAACTACACAAGTTAGAATTTCCTCTAAATAGTATGTAATAAGATTTGAAAAGGAAAGTCTAATGGTGAAACATCAAAATAATGCAGAGAAAGTAGCACATATAATTTAAAGTCAAATAATTTACCATGAGTTAACAGATGTGTTTAGTCCTGTGCTGAATGGTGAAACACAACTTCTTTAGAATAAACAATTTGTGAGCTTGAAAGCTTGATTAAACTTCAAATATAATTCAATAATTTACAATTAATATAGAAAAAGAACCAAATTACAAAACAATTTTGAAAGAAAAAAAAGAATAACAATAAAAATAACTGCCTTCACAGTTTAAACCTACAATTTTAAAGACAAAATTAAAATAGATTTAAATTTTTAACAAATGCTCAATACTTGGTTTAGAGCAACTCATACAATGGAAATTTTTATTTTATAAAATTTACGTAACTTTTCTTAAAGGAGAAATAATATTATTTTCCTAAATAAATCCATAAATCACATTATATGTAAATACATTTACATGACTTTACATATTTTGAGTTAAATTCTAAATAGCTACCATACATATTGGTATATTAGTTAACTTTTCAAACTCCCAAAACTGAACAAAAATCAGCTAGACTTATACACCCGTAATAAAGTCAGACATACGTTGATCATGAAATATCAATATCTTAAGAACAGTAAGATAGATATGAATAACTGTATTACCCCTTTCAAACTCTATTTTTAATATGGTATAGACACTTTTGCCTTTTCTTTAATCATATTTTCTTTACATATAAAGGTTTTTTTAGAACCACTTAAAATTACATTAAAAACAATCATGAATAAGATAATTTATTCATAATTATTTCAAAGCATATAACACAATGAAAACTTTTAAAACATACCAAAAACCTATAAATTTTAAGATTCCAGAAGATCATCTGTGTTGGATTCAATAATGTTATCTGTATTTGAGGGCCAAATGTATCGTTATGCAGAGACAACAATGTGAAATAATTTTAACTTGAAAAAATATTACAGACGTAATAACTTTTTAATGTCTTTTCCAATTTTAGACATTTTTATACTTGGTTTTTTCAGCACTTCACTTATACACCTAGCATATCAGAAATTTTCTATCTTGTAATCAAAAATAGGGGGTGTAGATATACGGTATTTCAAATAAAAACTATAAAATTTAACAGCTTATATATTATTATTATGTACATTATTTATTAATTGTACAGCTTTACAATTTTAATTAACAAAGTAGTAGTATATAGATCAAAAAATTCCCAGGAAGTTAGGATTCACTAAATAAAACAATAAGTATATTTTTGAAAAATCTTTTCAGAATAGAAACTACATTTAAACTTAATATTTTAAGTAAATTAAATTTATAAAGTCTATAATCAAGAAAATTATCATGTTCATATATTCAAGATTTGGTTTTATTATTATGAAATCAAATACTACTCATTATAAAAATAATAAAATATTTTTTAAGCATTTTACAAAAAAGGGACAAAAATGATATGCATGAAAAAATTTTTAACAGGTAAAAGATAAAGTCTTATATGTCTTGTTTTCATAAATTACACAAAAAGAAGTCAATACTAAAAGGCCAATAATTTTTATTTGAACTTAAATTAAAAAAAAAAACATTACACTGATTGATACAAGAGACAAAAAACATATATTTATAAATTTGTTAAAATACTTTCAACAAGCACAAATTTGATAAATAAAACTTGCTTTAATATTTACAAAAGTAGCAAACTGCTCATAAAAGTTATACATTGAGCAATATAATACAAATGTTTATGCACAAACACACTACAGCAACTACACATAAAAGTTTATGCACTTAAGAGAATACTACCAGTTGTTCATGCCTGGCTTACTGAGAGTCATAAAATATATTTGGCAGGCAGAACCTCCTTTTGAAGATGAAAAAAATACCTGTAAATTTAAAATAAGTTAGCAAAAGCATAATGGTAGTTTCACTTTATATAAGTGTCACAATAAAATATATACACTTGAATTATATAAGGGAAGGAGATTTTAATGTTAATAAAAGCATTTTTTTTTTCGTTTTGTGATGTAAATACAAAAGGAAGCAGATACAAACGGCCAAAGCACTATTTTGCAAATTTCTAGATAGAATGGCATTGATAGAATAAAAAAGAAAATAAAAGGTTATTTTAGTTTTTTTAATGATATTTAATCCTTTGTTTATTTAATTCTGACAAACTCTAATATTCATTTAAATAATTTATGTATGATATTTAAAAAAAAGAGAGTATACTAGAAATTGTTGTTTTTGAATTCTTGAGTTGGATTTGTTGTCTAATACTTGCGTTCTTGTAGATATAGTATGATATTCCAGCTTTGCGTGATTTAATAACATTGTTTGAGCACTTAATGACACTTTTAGTTTTGTAAAGACATCACTAATATTGAAAAATTACAAAAATAGAAACATGATACCAAAAATTTAAATACATCAGAACGGACAAAATAAGTCTGTTTTTGAAAGGTTGTTGCTTTCAAACTTTTTCAGGCAAAGCTATTTAGTGGATAATAGGTTGGATAATAATTTTTATATCTGTTTTAATTTTGTAACTATTACTTATGACTGTTAGGTTAAGAGTTGTCCAATCTTTTGTCAGTGCCCTGCATTCTACTTATGAAAATGGCACAAAATGTCCACACGAAGAAAAGCCACAGTTTCGAGAAAATGAAAAATGTATCTGATCTAATTTTATGTTTCTAATAAGTTACTCCAAGGTTGCATTGTTTGGACTCATAAAAACTGCAAAAATTGAGCATTACGTAGATTAATTTCAATGATTCCTCACTTAGGTAGGCTAACCTTTCAGCGAGATTGTCTACATTTAGTCTAAAATAAAATCTTTACTTTGGTGGTCAGACTCAAGCAACATGGCTGAGAAATATAAAGGATGAAAAATGACAACACTTTTTGTTATAGAAAACACTAACCATAAAGATTATTAAGGGCAAAAATGCACCGTTTTACTAATAAAAATTTTAAAAATTTATGAATTTCTAAATGTGCATTAATGTGAATTACTTAAATACTACAGATGACATACAGTTTAAAAAAGATAATCAATATAGTTGAAATGTAACTGATTGCATTGCACAAAAGATTAATGGGCCCTAGGTTAAACTTTGAAAAAGGCTTATTCCTAAAAACTCAAAAAGTTCAAACTTTATATTTTGTAAGATTTTTTTAAATAATTTTTTTTTAAATGTTCTCTTTGATTCCCAATACAAAAGTTTCATAAACATACTAAAATGTAACCTTCACATTGTTATATTAGTTTATTTTATTGTTATATAGACTAAGTATTATATACATTACTAAATAGACTTGAGAATTTTTAAATAAATGTGTTCCTGATGTAATTTTCATGTAACATAGTAAGAATTTAAGGTTTTTAAATTTAAAGTATATAAAAAAAATTTTCCTCAGCAATGCTCCCACTAAAAAATGTTAGATGAAAGAAAAATGACAAAAATAGAATTCCTTAAGATATTTGGGGAAGTCATAAGTAGAAACAGTAACATTTTAAATGTCTTACTTTCTCATTCCTTTCACATAAAAACTTTAATCTTTGAGCTTTCTTGTGCATGAACACACCATCTAAATGACCAGTTTCAACATTTCTTATTTCAATAGCTTTATTTCCCCAACCCATGACTTGTCCAGTTCCAATAAAAGCTGTAAAATAAATAAATAGAAAAATACAACATAAGCACAAAACAGAATATATATATATACATATATATGAGTAATTTAAAAAAATTGCACTCTTGAAGTTCTACGACTTCAAGTAATTGACATATAAACATTATTTTTCATTTTCAATTATGACCTTAACTGTGATGTGGGAATGCCATAGGTTTGTGTGAAACTTAGCAACTATGCAGTGGAGACATTTTTCCATGTCAAAAATGGTCTTAAGTGATTATTATTTATCAGATTGTAAAATTTACCAGTAGAGCAAGACATTTTCTGGAGGCTATGAAAAAATACACAATAAAACTAGCACCAGAAGTCTCTAAATGTCTACCACTGAAGTATATTTTGAAAATAGATGCCTTTTGATACCTATAAATCTCACTAGAATCTATTTATAGATGCAGGAGGAACAAACTGTAAGACTTTTTAATGTGTTTTACTGATTAGTTAAAAAAAAAATTTTAATCAACTCAGTGACATAACTTTTTGAACAAATCATGTATGTATAATTTGTTACTTTAGATATCTTGGTTGTATTTTAGGCAATTATAATCTTTCATATACATAAAATATTACATTCTTTAAGTATATTTCAATTTAATACATTATTACAATATTTTAATGCTTATCTTAATTTATACATTATGAATTTGATAGCAGTGAACTTGTTTCATGACATACAACTTTGATGTGTGTATATTTGTCTAAACTAAACGCAGTGGCGTGACTGCCAGTTGAACGTCAAGGCCTAGCATGCTCATCCCAGATTTCCTAACTTTGCACTCTGGGATGCAGGAGCAGATGATCCAGTTCGGTGGTCAGTCAAAGGCAGAAACCCCAGTAATTATTCTAGTTTTAATCCTTAAGCATGTTTGGCATTCATTTCATTGACTCACTGAAAGGAAGAAAGACTGAGTCAAACTTGCCTAGCCTGAGAATAGAACCTCAGACTTGTGGTATTGGAGTGTGAAGTGCTACCACTCAGCTAATGGAATATCATAGGTTTGTCTATTAAGTATTCTTTCTTTCTCTCAATCAAGCTTTTACGCTTTATAACAAAATCGAATTCATTAGTTTAATTAGTTTAAGTATTAGCAAATTTTTGTTCTGCTTTCTCTAACCACAAAAAAGCAATGATACCTACATTATCAAATTGGAAATATGACTTCTGGAATGTGGTATCACTTACACGTTTTGTTGCAATGAATACTTTAGAACATTTATGCGTCTTACATGCTGATGGTTTATTTTGATTTTACAGTGATTGTTTATATACGAGGGTGTTTCGAAAAGTAAAGATACACCGTACGCCAGAGGAAAAGAAAGGTTTTGGCGAGCAAGTTGGCAACACAGGTATTAACCTTGATCCGTTAGCTTTCTCCTCGCGGTCGTTCGGCATTTTAATGTTGATTCTGATTGGAGTAGGTCGTGTTTAAAATGGTTGCGGCGATTCAGAATCCCGCCAAATGCGAAGTGCGGTCTGTCATACGTTTTCTTCATGCAAAAGGTCAGAGACCAGTGAATATTCACAAAGAAATTGTTTCTGTTTATGGGAATGTTATGAACAGACAAATGGAGTCCGCTTGCTTCATGACAACGCTCGACCTCACACAGCGCTCGTAACCAAAGCACTAACTCAAACAATTCAAATGGCAAGTATTGGACCATCCGCCATACAGCCCGGACCTTGCGCCCAACGACTTTCATTTATTCCTTTACCTGAAGTCACATCTTCGTGGAAAATCATTCCACGACAATGATGAGATCGAAGATGAAGTTGAAATGTGGTTCCGACAACAGGTGGCAACCTTCTACGACTGTGGGATACAAAAGCTTGCGCACCGACTTAACAAATGTTTGGATAACGGGGGTGATTATGTAGAAAAATAATAAATAATCGAGTTAATAAGATGTAACTGACGTTTTCTAAATAAAAGTTTTTTTTCAAGGAATGCGATCCATTGTATCTTTACTTTTCGAAACGCCCTCGTATATTAGGCTTGAATTCAGAAGTGTCCAAAGATACAACAAACTCTTCCAATCTGATTTTACTTTATAGGGAAATGTATATTATCAGACCTAAACTCATAGTAGTTAGGCTTAAATTTAGTATAAAACTATATACAGTACTTCATAATTTATTTATAGAAAGCAAAAAAAAAATTTCAAAGAAATTTTCAAAGAAATTTTTAAAAAATTTTACAACTTTTCGAAAAAAATGCAAATAAAAGCAAACTAAGTACACTACACAAACAAAAGCAAAGAAAAGTTTTAAAGATATTATTACCAACTGATGTAGGCATCTCTCCCCACTGTAAAACAATATTTTTGCTGACTTTTCCAAATGTATTGACATAAATACCTTCATCTATAAAGGAAAATCACCACTTAGTAATAATTATCAGAAATATATATATAAATACAAAAAGAAAAAACAGAAGAGATAAACTAAGAAAATTAAAAAAATCAATAACAGGGTGCGTAGCCAAATTATTCTGCAAAAAAATAGCACTTTTCAAGCACTTAATTAATATTTTAAGCACTTTAAGAAAATATCATAATTAGGCAGGGTTGGAAAGTTTTTGGCAATTGACGGTTTCATTTGGTTTTAACCGTCATGTCAAAAAAAAAAAAAAAACCTTTGGCATTGTATTTGACAATTGTCAAAATCTTTTAATCATGCAAATTGAATGGCGTTTTCATACGCTACGGACTGACAATGCGCTAAAATAGATTGGGGTTGAATTAAGTGTGCAAACGCTGAATAGAACAATGTGAACAGTGTCTTTTTGCATTATTCGTATCGAAAATCAACATGGTAAAGGAAAAATCTCAATTTGGAAAAGGGAAAATAAAGCACTTTTTAAAAACACCTAATGAAAAAAAGCGCCTTTAAGGGCTTTTAAAAAACAAAAATAAGCACATTTAAGCGCTTTTTAAAAATGCTACGCACCCTGAATAAGTTTTATTTACTGCGCATTAGCTGCAAGTATATAGAACTTATTTTAAAATGTAGTGAAAACATGGAAAAATTACAAAATAATGGAAATAACATGTAAAAACAGATAATAAAATAAAATAAAAAGAAAAAACATTAAAAAGGGGGGACTATAAAGCGAGTAGCAAAATCATAACAACTTACATGGACGGATATTTTTCAAGAATAATTTTAAATGTTTTTGCAGAAAGATTGCCCGATTACAAAATATGAAAACAAAAGCGCAAATTGAGTGTAACAAGAGGGTTTTAAAATGACGTTCTTACTGCACTGCTGAAGTGATTTGTTATTCTGAGTTTTGATTTGTTAGTTACCAAGGATGAGTGGGGCATTTGTGGGGGCAAGGTAATATTATACTGGATAATTTTAAAAATTGATCATAAATAGTTTTAGAAGATAGATGTTTATTTAAGAAAAAATATAAAATAGAAAAGAGAAACATAAATTGCCTGCTTTGCAAATAATTTTAGCCGCGGATTTGCACGATATGGATTAGCACATAGAAAAATTATTTAAATTATCAAAGAAAAAATTTTAATAGATAATTTTAACACGGATTTGCCCGAAATGGATTTGCACATGGAAAAATTAACAAAGAAAAAATTTTAGCAGATAATTTTAACCACGGATTTGCCCGAAATGGATTTGCACATGGAAAATTGTATAAATTAATAAAGAAATTTTTAGCAAACAATTTTATCCACGGATTTGCCCCAAATGGATTTGCACATGGAAAAACTGTATAGATTAACAAAGGAAATTATTTAGTAAAGGAATTTTTAGTAAATAATTCTAACCATGTATTTGCCCGAAATGGATTTGCACATGGAAAAATTAACAAAGAAAAAATTTTAGTAGATAATTTTAGCCACGGATTTGCACATGGAAAAACTGTAACAAGAGGAGGATTAACAAAGGAAATTATTTAGTAAAGTAATTTTTAGTAAATAATTCCAACCACGGATTTGCCCGAAATGGATTTGCACATGGAAAAATTATACAAATTAACAAAGAAATTATTTAGTAAATAATTTTGGCAATGAATTTTGGCCTGAAATGGATTTGCACATGGGAAAATCATAAAAATAAACAAAAAAATGTTTAGAAAATATATCCACCAAAATATACGATTAATTCAATGATTTTATATAAAATTTTATTACATTAGTTGGGTATCCATTGTTTTTTATCAGATTTTGAAAGAGTTTATCGATTTGTTTTTTGGATAAATAAATATTACTACATATTCTTTTAATTCTGTTCATTTCATTAAAAGTGGTATTTAAATAGATGCTCCTAGAAACATTAGAATTCCAAGTAACTAGTTTATTAATATTAAAATTAAAATCATTTCTTTTATCGTATAAATCAACAAAGCAGATATTTTCAACTTTCATAATACCCAAATCCAAAAAATTGAAATTAATATTATCATCATGATTACGAAGTAAGATTAATTCCTCAGGGTATATATCACTCAATAAAACAGTAAAATCTTGGAAATTAAAGATAATTAAGTCATCAATATATCTAAAAACAAATTTAATACTCAGAGTAAAATTTTTTTCATAATAATGCAAAAATAAGTTAGCTAAGAGAGATGAATAATTAGATCCCTGTGGTATTCCATTAATTTGAAGAAAGATATCCCTTCCATTGTAAAGATAATTACTAAAAAGACAAAAATTAATCAGAATTTCCCAATAATCAAAATCGCAACAAAGGATATTTTTAAAATCATGGTAATAATTCAAAAGGACATCTTTTAGTTTAGAAAGGGGAATGCTATTGAAAAGATCCTGGAAATCAAAAGTCGCAATAGAATTAATTTTATTATGTTTAATGAAATCTAAAATCGGTTGATTATTAGTGATTATCCAAGAGAAACCTTCTTTAGTAATATAGTTAATAATCTTATTTAAGTAGTTAGAGAAAATGGTGCCAGGTTTAGTTAAATAAGTATTAGACCCACATGTGATAGTTCTAAATTTTACTGGAATTTTATGAAATTTAGGACTGATAATTAAGTAAGGAAATTGTATATTGCTAATTTTAATTTTTAATCTCTTGTAAAAAGCTAAAATTTTTTTAATGGCAATATTATTATTGAAATTACTAAGTTCAAAATTTTTACTATTTTTTAATTCCGTATTTAAAAGTTCAGCATAGAATTTTTTACAGAATATAGCATAATTATTGTTAGCTTTGTCTATGGGAGTAATTACAAAATTTTTTTGAAGTTGCTTAATTGATTGAACAATATTAGAAAAATTTGTTGAATTGTTATTCTTATTTAAATTATCCTTATTATTGAAAATAAAGTTTTTAAAGTAATAATAAACTCCCCATTTCCATTCTGTTAGCATACCTAAAGGTAAAGAGAATCTATTTGATATCTTTAAACAAAAACTATTGAGATCATTAAGAAAGTATTTTAGAATCTTATTGATTGATATATGGTAAATGGGTCTAAATTTTGTGCCTTTTATCATTAAATTCCTAAGTTCCAAGTTTTCTATAATATTTAAATTACCAGTGATAATATGTTTATGATGTTTATCAACAAAATCAAAATATTTATCCTCCTCACAGTGACATTCATAATCGGATATATTAATACTCCCTAAATTTTTGCTTATATCATTATAGTTAAAAATGGTTCTACCAAGAGATTTGTTATATTTAAAACTTTTAATTATGTTAAAATCTTTTAATGGAAATAAAGCTTTAAAATTTTCAAAAATGTTGTGAAATTTGATCTTATCGAAAATAGGATTTTGAAAGTTAATAACGAAATATAAATTATCTAAACTTTTCTTATTATTAGGCAAAATTTTGCTCATTTTGGCTTTTATAAGATCGAAACAAAGAATTTTGAAATGTAAATTAATGAAAGAAAAGTTAATAATAAGATCGTAGAACTTATATGTTTCATAATTCTTAAGGGAGAAGACAAAATCTTTAATTGGTTTAATGCTATATTGTTTATTAAAGTCTTTTTCCATATTAGAAAGAAATTTTATATTTAATTTGTCACTATTAAGAGAGTTTCTATTACTTCTTGAACCCCGTTTACCTCGATTTGTACGCTTATCTTTAATATGAAAAAGTGAATAAGTTGATATATATATGTATATATATATAAAATTAGTAATTACTCTCAATTTAGAATAAAGAAAAATACGTTAATTATTTGCATGCATAATTTCGTTTTCAAAAATTTGCATTCCATCTGAAATGAAAACTATAATAAAGTTTATACCTTCTTAGTAATACATCAAGAATAAAAAAAAATTGAAGTAAAAAATTTAAATAAAACTGTAATAGCTACTTATTGCTGAAAAAAATAAAATAATGAAAGAAAAAATATGAAGAAAAAAAAATTTTTTTTTTACTATATGAACACCTGTTTGGCCAATACTCACTATCATAGCATAAAAGTAGCTGTATCCCCTTAGAATTAGGTAAAGTTACTATTGCATGTGGAGTAATATTTCCTTGTGACTGAAAAAGAAAAGGATACTTAAAACATTAAACATTCATTAAACATTAAAAAATAATTTCAGAATAAAGCATATTTTATACAGAAATAAAGAACCTTTTTATTTATCTTACTTAATTTTAAAAATCCCGTGTAAAAAGTGAAATACTTTATGTAAAACTTAAAAATGAAAGACAAATGTTAATTAATATGTAAATGTTAAAGAAACTGTATAAACTATACTGTATGAAACTTTATTCGTAATAAAAAAACAGCAACTGTAATTTTATAAATCTCACAACAGTATTTGGTTACGAAAGCAAAGTTTATGAAAAAAAAACATTCTGGCTACTTTTATACAGATAAAAAATTACTATTAAGAACTAGGGATAAAAATTTTGTCACATAATTTTTTTATAAAATTCAGCAAATGTTTAATTGCTACAAAGCATAGCCACATTATGATTAATAGTTCTTAAAAAAACTCACATGAACTGGAAGATATACATCGTACACTGCACCAGAATCAAGATCTACAGCATGAAATCCATCTGCAGAACCAAAAATCACTTTAAGGCGAATATTGTCTTCAACTGTAAGATCCACAAGAAGAGGTTTATGTAAAAGATCAGAAAAAGATTTAAATGCCATAAACTTATGGTATGGTTTTGGTGCCCAGGCATAGATTTCAACACTCTCCTTTAAAGCAATCACCAGAAACTTTATCCTTTCATACTTCACTGAAAAATCAAATAATGAAACATTAGTTAAAATATAAATTATAATAAAAAAGTATTGAAAAAGCTAAATAACCAAATCGTAAAGTAAAGGAATTAAATAAAGCGTATAAAATTTTGTGAATGAAATTTAAAGTTTCATAAATTATAAAAACAAAAAAGATAATTAAAGCCAAAGGAATTAGTCCTTAAAATATATTAGGAGTCTGCTTATTAAATAACCAGACCTAATTCGATTAATTCAACTTTGTTTAATTTATAGAACACCTATGATAGACACCAAATAAGTGAATCAAACAGGACAAAAAAATTCTCATCAGATCCTTTAGTTTCAGACTGAATAGCTTAACTAATTCTATTTGCTTATTAAATTAGGCTAATAGTTTTCAAATGAAAGAGCATAATTTTTACAAGCCCTCTTGATTTTGACAGGTGGTTATGCATCAGATAGTAAATCTATAAATAAAAGACTAAAAAAATCACATGACAACATGCCACATTACCACATGTGATTATGGCTGATGGTAGATATTTCAAAAATATAGTAATATGATTTTCATTTTTATCACAAACATTTTGAAAAATTGTGGTTTGATTTTCATTTATTAAAGCATTTTGAAAAATTGTGACGGGGTTTCTGATTATTATTATTTATTTATTTTGATTAAAACATTTCTTATCTGCAGTGCTGTCTTCCCAAGATTTTTTTTACTAAAATCAGACACTTAGGGATAAAAAATATTTTTTGCCCTGTCACATATAACAGCTGTAAGAATTATTTTTTATTTTATTTTTTAAATTGACTGTTTTCTTGTTTGAAAACCATCGGTCTAATTTAAGAACACCTTATATAAACAGGAAGATTGCTTCCTGTTAGGGGTATTTTTTTATAATATATCTAGTAATTCACCTGCAAATAAAAGCTGTTAATGATAAGAAAATTTTCTAAGGCTAGCTGGTAAGGAAATTCATAAGATATTAAAACATGCTACAAAAATATTACATCACATTGTAAAACAAAAGAATTCTATTAATAATCATCTTCATGCTCAGAACATATACAGATAACTTAGGAATTAATTATAAATAATAATATAATGCTCAAAAGAAAACTTAATAAATTTACATTGAGCGTTTAGGACATAGCATATTCAATTACAAGTTCACAAATTTTTTTCTAACTGTAAAATGCATTTGTTCCTTTTTTTTTTAAAAAAAAATTAAGTCACATGGGACGATAAAATAAAGTTTCAATAAATGCTTATAGACAAAAATAAAACATGAAATTCTAAAACTATATTTCAAAAACTTCTACTTGGAAACTTTTTTTCAAACCCTTAGTATTTCAAGTGATATCAACATTACATATCACCAATTTTACAATTGCATAATGCAAGCAGTTCTGTTAAACATAATATAATATACAAAATAAAAATTCAGTGCATATTTTTACTTTATAATAGGTTATAAAATTATGAATTACCTTAAACCTTAATTTTTACTACTATCATGTTTTTCAACTTACATTATTGCCTTGAACATACAAAAGTGTTTTGAGTAAATTAGTCTCAATCATTGAATGTTATAGAATACTTCATTTTAAAACTTAATAAAATTAGTTTAGTTCTGTGCTTTTACTTAGCTTTAAATTATTGAAAGTTTGTTTAATTAAGATTATTTTTGCCTAATCAATACTAAGCAAATTAGAAAAACACTAACAGGGCAGCCAACTATCTATACTATACTATACATGAAAATTTCTTCTAGTGGTAGCTAAGTATGTGTTTTAATGTATTATACTTTGCTTAGTAAATTTGATATATAGTTATTTTCCACACCACTGCATGCAAATGATTTAATAGTTCATATGAAACACCACTTTCTCAATTTTTAAAATATTGCCAAACATTTTGAAAGCTTTAGTTTTTAACTGTTTACCACTCTATAAAATAATTTGCATAAAACGTAGTAGTTGGCAGCCCTAAGTAAAGCATGGTGAATAATTAAATTAAAGGGAATGCTGATTAATAACACACAAATACAGTTAATTATTATATGTCAATTGTTATCTTACTTTGTAAAAGTTTGATGGCAAAAAAAAATGCTTGAAATTAAATTTTATCATAATTATCATTGTTAACCATTTAATTTTTGCATTGTAATGTCATTATTGCAAAAAGTTCACATCAAATTAAACTAGTCATTATTGTAATGAAGGTCATAAGAACAATTAAAAACTTAGACAATCTCACAAGCCTTTTACTAAACCTTAACAGTATGTTTTTTTAAAAACATTTTTGGTGCCTCATAATGTAGCATTATATAGACAAGGTTGAATTTCTTCTAAAAGAGAACTGTTTTTTCTCGAACAATCAACCCAAAAGAAACTGAAAAAAATGGAAAAAGGTGGAAACGAAACACAAAAAAATAAAAATTTGCTTAAAATGTATTTAACTACGCTGAGTTTTAAAATGAAAGATTAAAAAAATATTAAAATGTATTCCTTATGTTTCTAAAATTTAATTTAAACTTAGAATAAAATAGTTCAAATGTTACAATTTATTTCTCAATCATATTAAATATGTAACACTAAGAAGAAATTGAACAATTTTACATTATATTTCATACTAAGTATTTACTTCCAACGTAACTAAAACTAAAGATCAAGAATTTGCTTGACACTGATCAGTATTAGACTTAATTAAAATTTACAAGCTAATTAGTTATCATTTTTAAATTTATAATAAAATCTTTTGGTTTTAAGATCTTAATTAAATTTTTAACAGTAAATTACTTCCATTTGAAGATTTATTTTAACTTATAAACCTGCTTTAACACTTTGTAATGATCAGTATGAAACATAAATAAGCTTTGCTAAACTGGGGGATAAGTTTTGCTAAAGTAATTGAAATATAATTAATTGATATAATTTGCATGATATAATTGCAAGTATGTAACTTTTTAAGGCAGTATAGTTTAAAAATATAAACAGAAAAATTTTTTTTTTCAAGTTTAGTTGATTTAAAAGTTAAGTTAGCAAAAAAGTTTAAAAATTCTAGATCTATGAAATATTTTAAAGCTGGGCTGGATTTAAGCGTAACAGGAACCTAATCTACTGAAGGTAGTGGGGGCCTTATGTTTTCAACTCGAAATTTTAATACGAGAGCAAACTGACATTATTTTATTAATAATAATTAAACGTAAAATTGCCTTAATTAATACAACATTTGATTATATTACCTGGTTTGGTTATATACATATATTGGCAGCTTTTAGCAATGCTTAAAAAAAGAATGTTTTAATTTTGGGGTCGCGACCCTAAGTTACCTTGATTTAAAGTGAAATTTGCACACACATTTTTAAAAATACATCAAGACTTTCCAGTTATTAGGACTTTGTGTTGGTTCATTAAAACTTTCCTGTGTTTCATTTGTAAAAAGTTATTATTTTTTCACTTATATTTTTTTAAAAAAAAAAACTAATAAATTTCAGTTTTCTCTGAAATTAGTTAGCTTAAAGGTTTATTTACCATTAATAATAAAAATAAAAAACCATAAGAACCATTCATGAAATGTCATACATTCTGTAGACTCATAAAATGCTAACATAATTAAATATGCAGTAAATTGGTCATAAAAATAAAATACTTAGCTAGATTTAATGACAGGAAATTATAAAATATTTTCAATTTTTTTGTTGTTGCAATTTTACATTACATTCATTTAGAATATATAACACTATATTTTAGATTGCTTGTTTTTTAACTAAATTATTTTGTAACATCTTTTCACTGTATTTTTAGGAACATTTAAGAACACAAGGGGAGTCATTTTGTGGAGTAAAGCAGCTATACTAATTTAAATATGGATTTAAAATGGCTATTAATTGTAATCTTCTAACTAGTACGGAACATTGTCTACACCACTTTGTGAGATTAAAGTTTTTTAGATAATGGATAAGAAAATTAATAATAGCAAGAAAAAATTAATTTTCAAACAACTATGCATTCTTCATCGGATTTCTAGATGTGACACTTTTTACGGGAATGAGTCAACAGCTTTAGCCCAATCTGTAAGATCAATGGTTTTTCCTTTGTCAGATGCTAGGTAATAATACAGAAATTTATAAATGCTTAAAAGACCCAGATATTATAAAATTTATCTGAACTATCAATAGATTAAAATGGGCTGCTTGTGAATTTATAAAAGCTTGCTTCGACAGGGCAAAAAGGAAAAGATGGTCGAAGTTTTGTTGGATACACTCAAAAAATACCTTGAAATATTAAGGGCTAAGATATGAAGGACCATTTTCACTAACAGGAATGCATGGAAATTTGTTCTAAAAAGCTTTGCCTTTCCCTGGGCTATACTGCTACTAATAATGATGAACTACGAATTTATTAATACAAGAAGCCATGAAGTTGATTAAAGGGAAAAACTTTTGGTGGAGCTGTGGAGTCTTTTTAGCTAAGGTACAAGTTTAATTTTTAATGCCAAAATTTGGGAGTTTAATAAAAAAATGCTTTTTTTCTAACAGTGTCTTAGTGGTGTAGGGTCTGCTTGAAAATAATTCTCAGAAAATTTCAAAAGTGTAACAATTCACACATGGTTAAGGAGCTTTTAAGCCATGAATATCATGTCATAAAATTCTTATTTGTTTTAAACTTACATGTAACTTATAAATTAATATTTCTGGCTAACAATAAATAATGGTTGGTTGTTAGTGAAAATGGTTAATTAAAGTGATTGCATTAGCAAAATTAAAAACTAGCATTCATTCCCATAATTAAAAAATTATAGCTTTTAATTTGATGCATGATATTACTTTACCCCACCACACACTATGTGCTAAAAAATAATTTATAATAAGGTGGTTTTTTCTATTTAGTAAGAAACTTGGTCCATAAGCATTGCAATGTGATACATATTTTTTTCCAAGCTCACTAAACATAGAAAATTTGTTTCAAATTTTAAATTAGATAAAAATAAAGAAACAAAATATTCCAATTTAGTAGTATAATTAGCTGGTCAATTTTTTAATAACTCAGAAAATATATCTCATTCTTACACAAGGGAACACTTTGCTGTGTTATGGGGAAATTTTGTCAAAGAATCTGCCTTTCTAAGAAACTTAAACCACATTCCTTTTCATTAACTGAGACTAATTTCACTAGAATTCCTTGATTTTTTCAACTAATAAACAGATTTTTTCCATTGTTATAATGCAATAGATTTAAGAGAAAATTTGACTGAACTTAGAGTATTCCCAACTTAGTTCTTTAGAATATCATCATCAATTTTTCTTATCTTTTCTACAACAACAAGACAAACTAAATCTAATAAATTGAAGAGAAATAAAATAAAACTTTTTGCTAACTAATGCAAATAAGTTAAGACTTTTAAAAGTGAGATTTTTTGTTAAAGAAAACTAGGAAAAATCAATAACATAATTGGGGTTATTTTTTTCTGAAAAGAAACTTTATCCAGTATAAATAAATAACCTAATATAAATAAATAAAACTTGATGACATTAAATCCTTTTAAACTACATATCTTTTTAGAAAACAAAATTTATAAAAGCAACTTTAAGTCATTTAACTAATATAAAAAGGAAAAGGTTACAACAATTGATGTTATTAATTTTTTTTCCTGCATTGAAAAAGAGTATGATCAATAATATAAAAATTCCGACAATATAAAATAATCATTATTTAGAAAGTAGAAATATTAAAGAAGAAATATTTATGTAATGAATTTTTTTCATGAAATATTTTTAAAGTAAAAACCGATTGATGATAGAAATTAGGAGCAATATATATTTCAAAATAAATAAAAAAGAGTAAAGAATAGAAGAATAAGAATAAATTATAATGGAAAAATAAAATTTAATGTTCACATTGGCTATAAGAAAATCAAGATACATTTGAATCAGAGGACAGAAATATTTTACCATTGCCACTCCATATTCGAAAAGTATTTTCCCAGTCTTTAAAGCCATGTTGAGGAATAGACCATACCACTTTGAGAGCAAAAGAAAAAGGGAGAATAAAATTTGAAAAGGCTGACACAGGTTTCTACTTGTTTTGCTAGATCACACTACTTTATTTTCATACATTAACAAGTTTACATACTCTTCAGCTACTCTGATAACTAATAACATAATAAAGAGATTTATGAACAAGAAGAAAAGTTCAAATAAAAGATCTGTTTATAAGCAACCTCATTCGTAACACATATTAGACAATGCAGATTCTTAGAGGCATGCTCTTAATATGCTTTTTAATTTAAGAGGTAGACTTTAAATATGCTAATTAATTATTGCAGGTGACATTTTAAGTAATGGAATTATTCCCAAAAATTTCAGTTCTTTAAATAACCATACTTTTTTCTGATAAATTTTGGATTTTATGACCTCAAAATATTGGTTAGGGTAGATACAATCTGAAAAATATTATCACAGTATTAAGTGGATGAAAAATACTTTGTAAACAATTTCAAAATCTTATTTATGCAAAAAAAACTGTTTTAATTATTGCCATTTTTTTTATTCAGTATAACAATTAACAAAAAATTTATCGTAAAATACGTCAATTTTTATTATTTTGAACTCTGTCGATACAATTGATAAACTCCAAATCTTGAAGAAAGTTGCTCACATAGTTTTGATCAACAAAACTTCAAAAAAGTGCAGTTTTTACATTTTCATTTCTCGACAACTATTTAACAGGCTTCATATCTTTTTTTTTGTTACTTAAAATATAAATGCAGGAACTTGTGAATTGTCTTGATTGACAGAATAAATTATGATCAAGGCTATTTTATAATAAATAAACAATATTGCAAAACAATTAAGCTATTAGAAAAACAAGATTTCAACTAAACATATTTTGATAACCCTTAAAGATACAGGAAAAAGTTACACTCCTTTTTTTTCTTCTGCCAAAGAGAAAGATTTATTTATTTTAGAAAATAATTATAACACTCCAATTATAGCACTCCAACACTGCAGAGTAAAAAATTCATATTTACTCATAAAGCTATTAATGAAAAGGAAAAATAATTTCTTTGCCAATTAATTCTTTACTTTTTGTAATTTTTGGTTACTCTTCCAAGTTAGTAACTAATGAGCTTAATACCCTTTTAAATATATGCTTAGTAGACTTTAAAAGTCACATAGCTTGAAATTAAAAACTCTGATTTCAGACCATTCATTTCTTTACAATTTCATTATGTAATTTTTTTCACAGTATATTTTTATGAAAATGTAAATACAAGATTGAAACTATTTAAAGGCAAAAATTGATGACAGAATTATTACATAATTTAAACTTCTCAAAATCATGTTTTAATTACTTAAAATGGTGTGGTATATGATAATGAGGAAAAAAAATTCAACATAAAGAACATTTTGAATGTTTTTAAGTTTTTATGAGGAAAAAAAAAGTTGTCAAGTAAAGATGAATTCTTACCCCATTCAATCAAAATATCAGTGGAATTAAACATTTTTGTTAAACTAGGAATGTTGTAAAAAATAATACAGATGAAAGACACTTCTTCGATTGATAAAGAGTTTTAAAGCACTTTTAAACTATCATAATGAAAAATTAATTACATGATTATTTCTTTACAAAAGATAGTCTATAAAAAATATAAGATATCTCTCTATCATGAGAAGTAACTGAAGAGTATGTGATTTTACATAAATTATGAATGCCAATTTTTTAAAATACCATATGACCTAGTATTAAGTATTATTACTTATTATATATTTTTTTCTTTGAGAAATATTACTCTTCTACAGAAGTAGTATTATTAGAATATTAGTATATTAAAATAATTCACCCATAAATCAGTCTAGTTTAAATGACACAATTATTAATTTAAAAAAAGTTTAACAAGCAAATAATGCAACTTGATCATATGAACATATAAAGGTTTTCTAAATAAAACGTGGGCATTCATGAATAGGGTCGTAAATATAGTAGCCATAGGAATGCCACTACGCAGGGTTATAAATTAAGGTAAGATGATTATACAGCACGTTTCGTATAAATGGGGTACCAGTTTCCATAAGAGTAATTAAAGACAATGTAGTCATAAGCATATCAAGAACAAAACAATATGCAATAGTACAATTTATGTTTTAGAAGGTGAACTTAATGCCAGTTACTGCCAAAATGGTGTTTATTTATGGTGAAAAGATTATTGACTTTGAACAAATTGTGTAAAAGTTTTTGTGTTTATCAAAATAAGATCTGCTTTTGATGATCTGAGTTGATAGCTGCTGTTGATGAAATGAGTAGAAGTAAACAGTTACAGCTTAGGAGTAAAAAAGTTACAGCATTTTGTCTGACATGAGTAAAGAAAAAAGAAATGGCAAAATAATCTTCTGAAACTAAAACTGTACCACTTTTCATTATTCCAATTCTGAACACAGCTGGACTGCACATTCATTTTAAATGCTCTCATGTTAGCTGGTTAATCAGTTATATCTATTCTGTGGGTCACTTCTCTTACCATATTTTACAACCCTTAATAGCTAACTTTAACGTGTTTCTGATAGTAACACATTTGTTCACTTTTAATTCAGGTAACCCATACATAAGTTAATTGAATAACACTTTACCAAAAGTAAATTAGCTTTCAGTTGTATTACACAACAGGTTATTTAAGTAAAACCAGATTTGTACTTAGCGTGGTTTTCAAGGAAAAGTTTTCTGCAACTTAAAAGGCCTCATTAAAGCTTAATTTTTAAGTCATTTGAACAGTTGCGAATGGGTACTTATTTTAGTGGGTAGTTCTAATACAAAGTTTTGTGGAACTCTCACTAATTATATGTCAGTTCGTTTTTAAATATTAAATATGCTTTTATATAACAATATTAATTAACCTACTAAAAAATAAATTAATAGCGTCGACTATGGTTTAATTTTGCAATTTTCAGACTGATTGCTTTCACAAGCAATAAATATTTTACCTTTTTACAAAAATTTAAAACTAAAAAAAAGGAGAGAGGGAGAAAGAGAAGAATCAATGAAAATTAATTTTTCAACATAAATATTTTTAGAGATTAATAAAACTGAATAAAAAATTACTCAAGATTCTTTCTTATCCAAATAAAAAGAGAACTGAGTAATAAAAAAATTCAAAGTAAAATGATAGTTGAAAGCAAAATTTAGAAGCAACCTAAAACTAATAACTTCAGTACATTGTAAAACTTAACTTTTTCAACTACACTTATTTAAAACTATATTTTATTTACAGAAAAAAAGTATGCAATAAAAATAATGATGCTAAAATTTATTTTTCATTGGGTATGTGTTCCTGTTAATTTTTATATATATATTACATTTTAATAAGATGTATTTTATATAGAAACCAGAATTATGTAAAATAAAATAAGAACTAATTCCTACTTATACTTTAATTCACATATTTTCTGGATTACAAAAAAATGTAAAAAATTTGGAAAAATGATAAGCTTAAATAATTTCTATAAGAAAATTTTGAATTTCAAAACAAATTTTACATTTATTTAATCAAATTTTAACAGGTTTTAAAAACAAAGAATAAATCACATGACAGCAAAATAATTCCAATCAGAGATAATTTAATCTATATTACTAGTGTTAGCTACAGAATAAGTCATTCTTCAAAGTTATCAGCTGCAGCACAGCCAACAAATAACGACTGAATTTAAATTACAATAAATGGACTTTTCAAAATGATTCCAAAAGAATCAACCACATTTTTCTTTATTTTATCCAAAGAAATTCATTTCATTTGGCTTGCAATTTTTAAAAATCTAAAAGACTAATAACTTTTGTTAAAGGTAATATATTTAAACACTATGAACATGGAAAAAAATATTCAGAATATTTAAGTGGATAAGTGCCATAAATGAATGAAAAATGGACAAGTGCAATAGTCAGAAATACATTAATAATAAAAGCATTCAGAATAATAAAGGAAAGTAACAAGAGTGAACTGCAAACTGCATATAATTGACAAATTTGTTCAATTTAGTATTTTAAAGTGAGCTAAGAAAGATGCATCTACAACAGAGCAACATAAAATAATAAGATTTTTGTTGGCAAGCTGTGGATTGGAACTATTTCTTTACTTTTTTAGAATGATTTCCAATTATCCCTTATAATTTCCTGCACAATATCCATGGAATCATTGGAGTTCATGATGTTTGGCTTGCTGTGAGTTTTGGCAATTGATATTGATGTCTCCCCTTCATGAAAATTTTTATATCTCTCTTATATGCTTACAGCCTTTTGTCTTCGACAGCAAACATCTATAAACAGCAAATATTTGATGGTAATTGAGCACCTTATGCTCGCCTTCTGCTCCTAAAAATTATACTAATGTCCGTCGCTCTAGTCTGGATGAATATTCCTCAGCACAACTTTACATTCACTTTTAAATACTTTCATCTAAAGTGGTTTAACAGTTATTTATTTCTCTTACACTGCACTCCTCTTACATTAATTTTTAACCATTAAGTAAGGCACTGCTATTGCGACTGTATTTCTGCATTACTTTTCATTTGGGTAATCCACATGGTTGAAAAATAATTACTTTTTTTAGTCTATTAAGCATAACTTTAATAAACCTGTTCAAAAAGGAAATAAGGAGCAAAATAAGTGGAAAAATAATAATTTTCAGAATCATAAAAAAATATACTCAAATAATTAGCACAACATTAAATCTGTTGAGTACATGACAAAAAACTTACTAATATGAGTAAGAAAAAAGTTTAAATTTATTTTAATCCAGTCATAGCTTTAAAAATAAAGAAGAGAAAAAATGATAATTGAATTATAATAAGAACTTAAAGACTAAGTGACAAGAAAGAAAGTAACATTTTAAAAGTTTTTAAAGAAAAAGAAACTTAACAAACTCACTACTTAAATTAGAAGAAAAAAACATGATAAAACTGAGAAAATTTTTTCGTAAAATTAAAGTATCTACAACTATTTTAAGACATCAGTCCCTAGAAAAATGTAAAATAAAAAAAAAAGTTTCAGCAATTGAAGACTAACTTTTTTAGAAACACTAATGATTTTTATTAACACTTATTAAGTAATAAAATAATTAAGTTAGATAAGAGTACAACATAATAGCTGTGACAAAAAATAAAAGAAAAAATACACACAACAATAAAAGCTATTCTGACCTTGCTCTTTATTACTCTATACTTTATTACTATAATTATTACACTATACTATACATTACAGGCCATTCTCCCATAACTTATTAACAGATTATGAAAACCTCAAATAAAATAGTGTTGCTTAATAAAAAAATAAATCTTATAATAGTCATCAGCTGTAAAAATGCAAAGTATTTTATTTTATTTTATAATCGTCATTGAACAGCAGACTCAATTTTATGGGTTAACAACTACTAATGTTCAACTCCATAGCCTTGTAATTTTGAACCCAATCGAGAAGGCAAGGGAAATCCTAGATCAAGTATTGAGAGAAATTTGCCATTATGGGGGACTTTTTGATGGAACTAACCACATTTGCATTACATGGAGAGGAAAATCACAAGAACCTCCCACAGTTAGCCACACGGCAGAGGGACTCTAACACATGCTCTGTCTACCACTGAGGATATTTCACATCAGCACTGTGGTCGGTGCAAATTTAGAAGCTATATTGAACTAAAAACCGAATTAAACATAGTACTTAAAAAAACGTAGCAAAAATTTTAAATTATGTTTTAGACAAACTAAATACAATTGTGGATGGTGAAAACCTCACAATACTTTTACATACAACTGAAAAAGGGAAAGAGGGATGGGGGCAGATTCTAGACATTGAACAAGTGCTCTTCTCAGATGGGGTATTCAAGCATTGTGTTTGCTAATTCTGCACATGGCACATTGATAAAGATTTTAATTATTTGCTTCCATTTTTTATAATACATATTTATCCCTTAAATTCAAGAGACGTTAAAATAAAGAACATAATTTATAATTGTTAAAAAGTCCATAACTAAATAATTTTTACAAATGAGTGTCACAAATAATAAATATTGTAAGTGTTATATTCATTTCATGATATTTTACATGTTACTTATGATATTTTCCCCTATTAAGTTTTTTTTCTGTGGCGTAAGGCATGCATATCTACATTCATAGTTATCAATCTTTAAAATAAATTTCTTTAAGGAAATGAAGAAACAATTTTGAAATAAAATATGGAGGACCCACAGTTTGAATTTAAATTTTAAATTGCAAAAGGCCTAATTTAATTTGTTAAAGGACTGGTTAGAAATGTTAAAGCTATATTGCATAACATCATTTTTAAATGCAGGTGAATAAAATTTTGAAAATGTAAATGCGTAAATCGTTGAAATGTGAAATGAAAATTTAAAACATCTATTCATCAATATTATACAAAAGCCTGTGAAAACTAATTTTTAACAATAAATTTGAGAAAATATCAATTGATGTTCAATGCAATCTGTAAACACAAAAGAAGATTGTCTTGGAGCAATGATTTGAAGATATCAATCAGCATTCTGTAATGTTTTTTATACTTATCAAAAACTATTAACAATTATGTGCAGGGATTTTTACTATGATTGATATTTTGAGACTATGTTCTTCAACGTTTTGAATAAAGATTTTTAGTTATCAATCAATATGTGCTTGTGATATATGATTGAAGTTTCGTTTATGATTAAAACAAAAATTAAAATATTATATACATTTATTATTTTTCATAAACAACTTTTACATCACTTGTTTCTAGAGCAACAAGGCTAATGTTGCAGTAATAAGGCTAATGCAAAAATATGTTAAAGCTATAGAATGCGTAAAAGCTTACCGGCCAAGTGTTTTGAGAAAAAGTAATTATCTTGTTTAAAATACAATAATCATTCAAGGTACCAGTTCTGTGAAGTATGTAATTCAACGCCTAGTGTAACTAAATAAATTTAACTAATGTAACTAAATAATTTTATACAGGAAGGAGTGGTTTTAATATCAACTGTAGTGAATTATCTACAAATCTTAATTCTAATCAACTCTAAACAAATGACTAGTAGTTTAGGATCTGGAACAGTAGAACCCCACAATAAGAAAATTTACAATTATAAAGTATATAACACACATTTCCCTCCTCAGCTACCACTCACTTTCATTCGTACTCACTGATATTATCTCATTTACCTTTATTTATGTATTAATTTAACTTTTCACTCTTAGCATTACACTATACATAGAACATTTATATCAATTCATTTTAGAATATAATATATGTTACAATGATGGTAAAAATTAAGTTTTTCAATAAAAAGTTCAGATTTTAAAAAAATAGTCATATTACAGTTCCAAAACTGCACCCACCCCACTACCTACTTGAAAGTAACCATTATAAAGATATAAATTAAATAAATCATTAGATCCATAATTTATCCACTCATACATCAATTAATAAAATACTTAACTTTTCTGAAGCATATTATTTAGCTTTACCTGAAACACTATGAAAATATAAATAAAGAAGAAAAACTGAAACCAAATTTCATAGAGAATAAATTATATCACAACTTCAAAACAAAGTAAAGCAAAAGTATAAAATACATGATTACCTATTTTAAAATGAACAGCTCCTTGTAAATCACCAACATTTATCCAACCATTTTGTCTGTCGATTTGCTAAAAGAATATTTATAAAATTGCAATGGTATTAAGACATCAAAATAATCTAAAGTGATAATTATTACTCACCACATAAAATTAACAAATTTTATATAGAAATTTTAAAGTTTTCAAATTAGAATTTTTTTAATAACAAATTTCAATGATTCCTAATAAAAGTATCTTTTTTACAATTATTCAATTCTCACACATACTTTATCAATATGAATGAAATAACAATGTAGAAAAAAAAATTCACCAGAATATGTATTTCTTCAAATACAAAACTTTTTATTCAAAACTAAAAAAAAAAACAAGAAACCAAAAAACGGGGGGAAATTTTGTTCAGTTTTCCAGCTATTTTGAACTAGATGATTGAGGCAATCTGTAAAAATTCCAGTCATCCTTGAAGTTTATTATGGAGGGTCTGTTACAGTTAATCTGTTGTGTCTTTTAGTGTCAATTTAATCTCTTTGATGTTTCTTTTAAGTGTAGTGAGAAAGGCTCTTTATAATTCCGAAAGAGTAGAGGATTTTTTTCCCTGTGTCAAGAAAAATCTTAAATATTTCTTTCTTAAGATAAAAGATTTTTAAGTGGAGAATGGACGAGGTAGGAATAAATTCTTTATTTGTCCTGTGTATGAGATAGAATCTGTGGTATTTGATAAGGTGCCGTAATTCAAGAATTAATTACTTAATCATTTTCATAGCATTAATTAATGAAGTCTGCAGCAGAACTATGGGAACTTTTCATGTTTGGTTGTACACATATAGAGCTTATCCTGTAATTTTTAACTAATTATAAATTATTGGACTATTGGCCAAATTATAATCTAATAAATTATAATCTAATAAATAAAAATATAATCTGATACTTAATAGCCACTAAAAATGGAACATTATTATATTTATAATGTTTCAAAGTGCCCACATAGCTGCCAATTTGTATTGCCATTGGAATCACTTTCACAAATTAGTAGTAAAATGATAATTAAAGCAGGAAAAATGATCAATAAAATTACTATATGTGTAATATTAATATATATGTAGATGTTAACCTGTTTTTAAGCTATAGACATCTATGGAGGGAAAAACAATTTGTTTTAAACTTTTAAAAGCTTAAATTTGTACATTAAAACCTGAATACTGCAATCATTAAGGAATATTTTTCTTAACGACAGCATAAGTTGGCAGTTAAGCAACCCAGAGAGAAGTTTTAGCACCCTTGGGTGCCATGCTATGCTACACACTTCAGGAGTCATGGATACAAACAGGAAAAAAAATTTAAGATCACACGCATAGGGAAAAAAAAGGGAAAGAGCATTTATAAATTATTTGAATAAATTTTGGAAATTATTTCAATAATTTCTAAAATAAAGTAGTTTCAGTAGTAAAGTAGTTTTCAAATAGTTGTATACCAAAACAAAATAAAAAAACTAATGAGAAAACTAGGAATCTAAGTTAGACTGTTCCAAAAATATAAATAAAATTTCTGAAATTTTTATGCATACCAGCTACTATTGTTTTAGATGTATTTTAAACATGTCCTGAAAATTTGATGCAATTATATTAAGATTAACACATTGCTCAAAAGAATTAAAACTTCAGTTATAGCACATTTTTTAAAAAGATTCATTATTTAATAAATATAATGAATAAAAAATTCTTTTTACTTTTATTTATTAATTTAGGATTTTTATTTATTAATGAAGAAATATAAGCAATATTTAATTATCCGGTAACGACCTAATTATCTGGAATTTCAGTATCAGATATCCTTCCACTTAGTTTTTTTCTGGATTTTAGAATAGCAATTATAAATAATTTACAAGACTGATTATTTAATGCTGGATAATAATTTTCAAAATAATATGAAAAATAGCAAAACACACTTGTTAACATTAATTTCACTAAAAAAAGCTATTTATAATAATAGAATGATATATAATCCAAGCATGATCAAGCAGCCACATTTCTACTTTTAAACAATGTAAAGGCTTCCATATTGTAACTTACAAAAGCAATCATCAAAGTTAACAATTGATTTTGAATGCAGAGGTGAATTAAACATACTCTAAGATTATACATATCAGGAAAAAATAATAGCTAATGATAATATGAATGATAATGAAATAAAAGTGAATGATCATAATAGCTTCCAAGAGAATTTTTAAAAACTATTTGATTGTTGCAAAAATGGTACAATCTCACAACATCATTCATTCTAAACATTTGATAACTATTTCAGTACAAAAATATTGTTCATTACATTTAAGCATTCTAGAATATGATTTAAACCGTTCATTATTTTTATAGAAGTAAATAATACTTGAATGTGAAATATGACTGGTTAAATAAAGAAAATGATACTTCAAAATTAAGAACGCCATCTAAAAGCATCGAGTGTGGTACATGTTGAATAACGATTGCTGCTTAAATAGAAGAATAAAATACCCTGACTTTTCCAGATATGATTTTAAAAAATTCCAGTACAATATCCTAGTATATACTGACAGTGCGATTGTCAAAATATAAAATAAACAACAAAAATTAATGTTTGTAATTTGTACATGATATTGTGTATTATATAAATTAAAAAATATAGCACCACTATACAAAGAAAAAATTGTATTAAAGACAGTTGAAATGTAACATATGAAATAGAAAAAAATATTTAAAAAAAAACAATTTGCCTCACTCAACTTAGTCTTTGTTAAATTTTTTATAGATTTAATTTTGTATTCATGTTTAATCTAATTTTATACATTGCACCTGCATGATGCCAAAAAAGCAAGAATGAACAAGAGTGGAATTTTTAAAGAAAAAAAAAGGTGTGTTCAAGTCTTAATATAAATTAAAATAAAGTGCTATTTTTTACATATATTTAAAAACACTAAAGAGATAAAATTATAAAAAATAATGTCACTTTTTAAATTAATCATTAATTCACTATTATTAATAAAGATAATATTACTAATGATAGTGATATATAATGCAAATTAAATAAAAAATATACCTAATTTATTAAAATTTCTATCAGATTTGTAAAAAATAATAAATGCTGAAATCTAATTATTAATACATTTATTAATATTCCTTTTATACAAAGATAATCTGCACTACAGATACTAGTTTATAAAATATTTCTTTTTAAAATTAAAAAATCTTCTCAATCCTCTAGATATTCTGAATTTAATAGTAATTATAATCAAAGCAAATTTAATATGCAAAGCAAAATAATATTTCAAAAAATAAAATATGCAAAGTATGACAACTGGATAGGAGTTTCCTCTTAGTGATGAATAATATTTTCTCCTATTTTGACTTATATTGATTAAAAAATAAATTCATTATTTTTATATTCATTGAAAATGAAATAAATATTCATAATAATATTAAATAAAATTTGCTAACAAAGAAAGAACTGAGTCTTCATTAAGAAGAAAAAATTAAACTTAAACATCACAGAGAAAAAAACCTTAAAAATTGTTTAGAAATTTATGTCTTTACAAAACAAATGTATTCAAAGCAACAGTACAAGTATTCCGAATATGTTTATTAAAATATTAAATTAATGTTAAAATGAACAGGAATTAAACCCAATCGAAAGTAAAATGATTAATGATACAAAAAGTAAGCTGTATCATCTTTAAACCTCGCCCAAAGGAAATGCATTTAAATAGTAAATTAGATGAGAACAACATAAAACAAGATGTTAAAAAAAGGGCAGCTTATTTTTCACCCTATTATAAAATAAAAAATAAATTAGAGATTTAAACATAATTAGGAGTGAAAACAAGACTGAAAAAATTTACAAGGAAAAGAGAGGAAAGCAAAAATTATGTAACTACCTTCTATTATCTTTAAATATATTAAAAAAGGTAAAGTGAAATAAAAATAGTGGATTTAAAAAATGCAAAATATCTATCAATTTATAATAAAAATAAATTTTTGGAAGATATCAGGGGTCAATACAGGTGCAAATTGGGGCCAATTTGTGGCTTCTTCACAACATTTGAATATTAAAAAACAGTCCACTCACTAAATTATAATTTACAAAAACAGCCCATTCACAAAATTATAATTTGTAAAAACAGCCCCTTTGCAAAATTTCACTTCATAAAAATGATTACACAAAATTGCTCCACTGATGATTCTCGAATAAAAAAGACAAAAAATGACATGATTTTATGACAGCATCGTCAAGAATCAAAATGATCAGAACTCAAATTCAAAATACACTTGTCATAATAGTGTGTTAAAAATATCAGAGTAGGGGAAAACCACGAGAAAAAAGCAGAAAAAATGATAAATAACTACCAAAAAAATTATCACCAAACATTGTGACATTAAGATTGAATCGTAACAAATCAAACATGTCAGAAAAAGATAATCCAAAATCGAAATTTGCACATCATAATAGCATTGTTTTAAAAATATTGGAATTTGAAAAACCATGTGAAAAGGGTCGAAAAATTATAAATAGTAGTAACTATGAACGACATAGTAAAACTATCTAACTAGTAAATAGTAGAAATAGTAAAACTATCTAACTATGTAAAATTATGATAGAATCATCAGGAATTGAAAGTTTCAAAAAAAAGTAAGGGCTAAAATTCAAAATTCGCATATCAGAACAAGATATTAAATACATAAAAATAAATTTTAAAAAAACATAGGGAAGCAGCAAAAAAATTATGTAAAAACAGGTGAGCTTACAAAAAAAACTGAATGTTCTGTATTAATTAGAAATTTCTAAAAATAATATACATTTTTCACAAAAAGGCCCTAAAAACCTGGATTTTGGATCAAAACCAGGATATTATGGTAATGCTTTAGGATTTCTATGCGGAGCAGCAGTCTCTTCCTGCGAGTTTAATTAAATTCATTTATGAAGACTTGATGATAAGGGATTAATGAAATTTACATTAAAAGCATTAATGATTTGTAAGAGATTATGAAACATTATTTATTCCAATAAATGTCTTAACCAAGAATAATAATAGACAATCTGAAGTTTATTCACCCTTTTATCTGTTATGGAGCCTAGCAACCAAAAACCATTTTCCAGTTGAAAACTGTTTAAGTCATAAAACCAGGGAATGCTACGATTCTGTGAAATTTAACTCCATGCCAAATGGGCAAACACAAAACTCTTGCACAGAAAATCTGTTCTGCAGGAAATGTTGACCCAAAAATCGCATGCTTGGCCCTTGTTAAATTAAACTCCCCAACTTTTCCAGATATTAGCTTAGACCTCCAGATCTAACCAGAATATTAATTTTAAAACTCACATAACATTTTTAAGGAAAAATTAAATATCAATTAAGTCTGATAAGTGGACAAAAAAAGTATAATAGTTAAAAGATTTAAACCATCATTCATTGTATCAACTTTTAATTATTTCTGTGATATAACTCAGAAGTATATAAACATTTTGGAGTATGATTTATTGTTTCATGATTTTTATGAAGTTAAATATCATCTAACAATGGAATGTGAATTAAAATTAAACTATTTCATGTGTTTTACACAATAAGATGAGTAAATAACTGTGCTGCAGAAGCCGTGAAATTCGAATCTGATTTTTTAGATAGTGAAGAATTATTGAAAGCTGGTAGTCACAAAAAAATTCAAGCAACTCCAAAAAGGAAATATTTTATGAATAATTATAACTGCTTTTGATCAGCTTTAGGATTATCGTATAATTAATGAGAATTTGGTAGAAATTGAGAAAAGTAAAAAAATGTGATAAAGCAACTACTTTAAAAATTTATGTGAGTTAAGCTATCACTTAATATTCTTTAAATTAATTAAAATTTTGAAAAAAAATTTATTTAGACCTTTAATACAATATTCAGAGCATATACATTCAAATTTTAAAAAAACAGAGACAAATTTAATCATACCGCATCAGATCGTAGAATTTTACTTTTGAGCCATGATAAATAGTACACACGGACTCTAGATTTCTTGCCAGATATGGATACTAAAATATTTTGACCTTCTAAAACTTCCATCTGTTGAAAACGTCTTCTGGATATAAGCTGGTAAACTTTACCCTGTCCACTTCTGTCAAGTAACATCAATCCAGTTTCAGTACCAATTAACAAGTTTACACCTACAAAAGGAAAAAAAAGCTGAATAAGCTCTACATTGCAACAAACAGAATCCAATGTGATACCATATTGTGCTGTTACATCTGCTTAAAAACATTAGCTTTTTAACTGTCAAAATAAAACATTGAACCTTAAATGAAATTTAGAGAAAAATCAATCTGCTTTCCTCAACGCAAAATGGTATTTACCAATATTCAGTTCAGATATGATGCATAAAGTAGAATAAATTATTAACAAGTGCCTGACAATGAAACAAACAAAAAAAATAGAAAACACCATGGCCTACCTTCTAAATATCTTAAAAATAATTTTTATATGTTAAGAATTGATTTGTTACAGAATAAGTTGATTTCTCTGAATTTGTTTTTTATACATATATCAATTAATCAATTCAATAATATTAAATTAATTGATCAAACGCATAGGCAAAGCAAACAAACAAACAAATATTAAGAAACAATCCGATAGGAACACAGACACTAATCGGAAACTGCTAGACGGGTTGCAAATTATGTGCAATATAGAAGGATAACATAAAATAATTCTAAATCTATTTATTTTTCCCGTAGTTCCAAATGTGTTGGACATTTATAACCAATTTACAACAGAGAGGCTCAAAAAGTTTGCCATTACATCAAGGTTACATGGAATGATGCATAATCTCACACATACAACTTTCAAGCCACTATAGCTGCTTGTAACCTCTGATGACATATAATTTTAAAATTTCTTTTTTCTGCCTGCTTTGCCTTTTAATTTTGGCCATGTTATTTTGAAGCAACCTGTTTAGTATGTACATTTAATAAAATAAGTGGAACAGCTATATATAAAATAAAATAGTATTTTAACTAATGCAATAACATAAATGGAAATATTTTGGGTCAATTTATGTATGAAATTTAAATTGAAAGTGATTACCTACTTAATTGTAAGAAACAAGTAATTAGAGATAGAAAAAATTGAAAAACTAAATAAATTGTAAAATCACCAAAAAAAATGCTGACAATCATACCCTTTTAATAACTGCCTACAAAACAGTGTGGATTTTAATTACATTTAAAACATTTCTATTATTTCTTTTTTTAAAATAATGAAAGCTAGAATGTATGACAAATTTTTGTCTAATTCATAGTTAAAGAACGCTGTTTCTCCAAAATTAATTTGAAGATTATTTTTTAAAAAAATAATTACATTAAACTATTTTTAAAGTTAAAAAAAGTTTAAAATTCATTTTATAACAAATATTAAACTAACTAAAACACTCATGCTGAGAGTAAACATGAAATTTTTCAGTAATTTTATCTAAATAAATGAAAAAACAACAGGGCTCCAAGAAATATTTTGAATTATTATGAATGTTACACACCCCACAAGGCAGCACAAAGAATTTCCGAATTAAATTTTTTCTTGTACTTTCTAATTTCAGGAGTATCTGGTGTGATTTCATGAGGTGATGGTGTAACATTAACATTGATCTGAGACAGCTTTTGGGGTGATGGGGAAGATCCACTTCCTGCTCCAAATCCAAAAGTCAAAAAAGATCTCTGTTTATGGTGGAACTAAATGGAACAAGAAATAAAATTAAGAAACAATGCTTATAGATGACATTAAATAAGACAAAGAGAATGGTTTTTTTTAAAAATAGGTGTTAAAATTAACACTTTTATAAATGTGCAAGTATGAATATGTTGCAGGCTAAATGAAAACTCATGCTTGTTGCAAACCAATGTAACCATTACAGTAATTTTTCAAAAAGCCAGGCTCATTCATTAAAAGCATCTGTATTTTCATATGATTCAAACAATTTTAAGGCTTATTGAAATGAGTCCAGACACTTTTAGGCTAATTAAAAGCTACGTTATTCACAGGGTTATTAGTCACTATATTTCTTTATTCAAGAGTTATTACAATAAGCTGGAGCAAATTTTGGGCGATTGAGTAAATCTTCCATTTTTGTTAGCCATGTTAACAGATGTGAACAGATTGTAATAAACTTGTAAGTTACTGCAGAAGAAAATACTGAGGACTTTCCCATGAGCCTGGTGCAACTTCAAGGATAATCACTTCTTCCTCACAAACTTTAGCAGTAAATGATTAAGTTTGCCCAGAACTTTCCAGCTATTAAATCTTCACTGTCCTAATGGTTGATGATACAGTAAGTTCAGAGACTGAAACTATTTGATGCTGTTGCAAATCAGTTTTTTTCAGTGGCTGTAAACTAAAGTAGAATTTTTCATACAAACAGCTTATTTTTTAAAAAAATTATTAGAACTTAAGCATTTGTCTGCATGACCTTATGTTAAATTATCTGCTTAAATTATTTATATTTAAAGGTAGACAAATTTCTTTAAATTTTAATTTATTATCATATAAATACATTACTCTTGCTACTAATAGGAACCTATTTCCTGTCATTACAAAGAATCTGTAATAATTGGAGTCTCTTTAAATAGCAGATACCTGGCTCTCCTTCTCTCTACATAAACATATGAGCTTAAGACACAAAATCTACAACCCTCAATGTTTCTGAAAATAAACTAATATAACAGCAACGGATTTGATGGTCTAAACAGGACATGTTGGATTATTTGTAATTATAATATTAAATTAAAATACATAATAACTAACAAAACAATTGTGAATAAAATATGAAGCAGCAATTAATCAGTAAAATATTTCAATTCAGTAAAAAAAAATTATTTTGATTATAACGAAATTTCATATTACATCATCAGCTCTATATTCTTTTGCTCCAAGAACATGTTGAGAGGAATGTTGAGGAAATAAATCTGGTAGAGCTCCACCTGGATGGCAGCCTGCCATTCCTATGTTTGCAGGAGTGCTTTGTGAAGACTCCAAACGCTGTCCATGCTGTAACCTAGCAACATCTTGCAAAACTGGGCTCACATGATCCTTGTGATCCTTTCGTTCTTTTGAACTAGATTCCTGAAGCATCAAGTAATCAATGTCAATCAAAGATGCATTTTCCTACTTCATGCATTTTATAAGCTTCTATTTAATTTTACTATTATGAACCAGAGAGAAACTTAGAATTCCTAACATTAATTAAAGTAATATTACTATTTTCATTTGTAGACTACTAACAACTAATAATTCCTGTAAGAGCTTGAATATAATTTTTTAAGGACAAACCTGATTTGCTTTAGCATCTTCATCATCAGGAGTAGGAGGAAGAGGACGATTAGGTGCTTGACTAGACACTGAAATATAAAACCAATAAGTAAGAACAAGGAAGATTAGATACATTCATATGTAGGGCAAACAACTCTTGAGCTTTGATATTTCATTCTCAGTTTAATAAATTTAATTTCAAACAAATCATCACGATATTTAATAATTTCAAGAAACATAGAAAGGTTAAAAGTGCTAACAAAATTTGAAATACTTCTGATACACTGCCTAACGTTATAAAAGCAATATTTATTTCCTTATTATGGCTAGGATAAATATTCCTCAAAAAGTACTTATGTTGGCAGCTATGTATTGTATCATACTTGTATTTGTATGAATATAATATAAATATACTAATTAAAATAAAAAATATATTTCAATTCTTTATAAAGTTATCAAAATTTCCACAAACAAAATTTCATTTGAGAGCAAAATCTGAAGAAAAATTGAAAGATGAACAGCATTTACATAGTCAAAATATAATTAAAATGAATTGCGTTTTTCATTTTGTCACATTCATAAAATAACAAAAAGTTTTCCATTTATTTACCTTTCTGAACTAAAGCTCGTAGTGTATCAGTATTATAACAGTCAGGTGGCCTGTAATAAAACAAATATGTATTACAATAAAACAACAGAATTGAAAATTTCAAGACGATAAAAAATTGGTACTATGATCACTATAAGTATCTTTTAGTTAGACTGGAATATTCTTAGGTTTCTTAAAATCAACTTTTAAATTTTTCCTCAGAGGGTGCATAGCCAAATTATTCGACAAAAAATAAGCACCTTTTAAGCACTTTTCAAGCACTCAATAAATATTTTAAGCACTTTATCATAACTAAGCAGGGTTGGAAAGTTTTTGTCAATTGGTTTTATCTTGTTTTAACCATCATGCCAAAAGAAGAAAAAACTTTCGGCATTGTTTTTGACAATTGGGTCAAAAATCATGAAGTTTTGAATAATGTAAAACAAATAGTGTTTTCATATGCTACAGACTGACAATACGTGAAATAGATTGGGGTTGAATCAATTGTGGAAACGTTGAATAGAACAATGCGAACTGTGTCTTTTTGCATAATTCATGGCGAAAATCAACATGGTAAAGGAAAAATCTCAATTTGAAAAAGGGAAAATTAAGCACTTTTCAAAAACATCCAATGAAAAAAGCACCTTTAAGGTCCATTAAAAAAGCGAAAATAAGCACCTTTAAGCACTTTTTAAAAACCCTATGCACTCTGCTTTATTAAGTAACAAAAAAAACATACATGAAATATAACATTTATGTCACTACATGAAAACCTGAATTTTATTAACAAATATGTATATTTTGATTTTTTAAAATATTCATTAGAATAGGTTATTATGTAGATTCTCAGAGAGATTAATGTTTTCATGCAGATTCTTGGTGGTCATGTACCTTTCTTGATAGCGCTAATTAAATAGATGAGAATGTAATTAAATGCACGTATGAACATTCACTCTCAATGAGATACAAGATGGAAAACATTAAACATATTCTAATACAAAGTTACAGTTAACATATATCAGCTCACAGTTCTTTATAGCTGATGCCATATCTCCCCCTATAAACATTTAGTCTACTCGGGACTTTCACAATTCTCCAAGAATGAGTAACAACAGCTTTTGAAGATTTATCTTTCTTCTGAGTCAAGACTGATGAATCTGGATCTCATTCTGGCAAGCTGATTTTGTAATTTTCTTTAGAAGAAGCTTCTTCCAAATCATCTTTCAGCAGATGAATCTGTAGCTTACAGGGTGGCCACTCAAATGAGATTTCAAATTTCCCTGATTTTTCCTGGTTTTCCAGATAAAAATCTTAAAATTTCCAGGTCTTTGTTTTTTTTCTGATAAAGTGTAGGATGTGTACAAGGAAAGTGTCTATATTATAGAATATTTTATTCAAAATGTTATTTTTTTAACACATCCTGAAAAAAAAAATTTTCTTTGACAATTTGGCAAGATTTTTTATTTATTTTTTAATGTTTTGGTACAAAATTTTGAATCACAAATCATATATTGACCAACAAAAGAGTAAAGTTAAATATTAATATATAGTTAGTTCTTAAAAAAACTCTTTTGCTCGGTTTGCTGAGAAAAAATAATTCACAGTTTTCTTTGAATGGGAATACAAAAGCCTTCAGAAAAAGAGTGCAATATAAAATCTATTATTATTAAATTATAACCAACTAATTTTTGGAGAATTTTATTAAGTTAAAAATACAAAAACCTTCAGTCAAAATGGAAAAAAATTACCATGAAAGCATCGGAACAAACTTGAGCCATAAATGGATTCAGCCCAAGGAGCGAATTTAAAAACAGAAGCTAATATCCTAATCCCTTCTTCCACCTCCACCACAATNCGGATGCATTTAAAAATATGAACTCTATCAAAAAATAATAATAGCTTCTATCTAGGATCTTCAGGATTAGGTATTGATGGTTGCAATGCGCCACCACACAACTTATCAAATGTTTTCCGATTTACTCAGTTGTTATCACCAATAGCAGCTAAAAGTTTATATCCAGCCTCCTTTAATATTTTTAAAACATGCAAAAGTATGGGTTAACTGCTGTTTGTCTGGCCATTGGAAATAAGCCTACAATATCTTTATTTTTTGAAAATATAGAGCATATTAAAAATCTCTGTAAAGTTGAAGGTTTTCCAGGTGGGTGGCCACCCTGAGCTTTGAGCTAGAGCCTGGAATCAAATGCTTTCTATCCTGTTGCAGCACTTGTTGCCTTTTTAAACCAAGTATGACATTGATGATTCAGCTTTTCGCTGTACAGTACCAATAGCCTTCCGAGTAGTTATCCGTATCTTTTCAACGGGATGTATTTGGTTTCAATTTATGGGCATTGTGCCTTTTAATCAGTAATATTTTTTCTGCTTTTCTATTAGTTTCTCTTCTTTTTCCTCTAATTTCTCCTTCTCAACAAGTTGTGGTTGAAGTAGTGAAATTGTTAAATGTAAGGTTGATTGTAGTCTATGTCCCATAGACAATTAAGTAGGATTGTAGCTATTCTTTAAGGGTGACGTTCTAAACCTCAACAAAGCCAAGTAAGGATCTTTAGACGTTTTGAATTTTAATTCAATTATCTTCCCTGCTGCTTTAACAAAACTTTTGCATTGAGGATATCTTGCACTCGAAATTATATGCTTAAGGCCATACACTTTTACGAAGCCTTGGAACTCTGCTTTTCTAGCAACTTCAAATTGTGGTTCATTATCTAACCTTACAATTCCAGAATTTGGGTAGATTAAGGACATTCATAAACTAATTTGTTTACTGATACTAGGCCAATATACTGCACATTCAATTCAGAGCTTAAGAATTTGCGTACTTTTAATGATGGTGGTAATTAACTTTTCCTCATTACAAATAAAAGATTTAAGATACTTGAACTTCTTCCTTTTACTTGAAAATTATCATTAAAAACTTAAAAATACTTAATATAACTTACAAAGGTCTGGGAGGATCAGAAGCCAATAAAGTACCATCATTCTGAACTAAGCCATCATCTTCTTCATCTTCATCATCAGAATCAGAAACAATTGGTGGAGGAGGTGGTGGAAACTCAGGAGAACTACCATTTAAAACAGAATATTCATCACATAAAATTGGCAGTTGCACATTAGAATGGTTAGGACTGGAGGAATTATCAGTAACTGACATGTCAGCCAAATGTGATGACACGTCTAATTCCTGAAATATAATTTCAAAACACAAATAAAATAAACAGTGATAAAAAAACAAAAAGAGCAAGTAAAAAAGAAAAAATTAAACTAAGAAGTCTTAAAGTCAAGTTGAGAAAATTATATAGTAAAGATAAAAATGTTACAGTTGTGGTTCCTACATGCAAGCGTACAATGCTTGAATGATTATTATGTTCTTAAATTATTGTCATAACATAAAATAAATTAAAATATAAATCTAATTTCATTATAAGTTAACAAATCAAAACATATATAAAGATAAAATTCAGAACCTTTAATTTCGTTCATTTAGTTAAATTTAAGTTATTGCTGAAAAGTTGTTAAAAGTGTTCAGTCCCTCGACGAAATTGCGTAGAAATTTCCTTACTAAGTACCAGTTTTCCATTAAATACATTAAAAATTTATCGTAGGTTAAACTGGTTTTTTCAAAGTCAGCAGAAAATTTGGAAAGAGCATTGACTAATGCTAAGAAAGCTAATAATGATTTCAAAAACAAACTCCTGCCTGAAATTGAACTTGTAAGACTTAAGTACAAACCAAAAATTTAACATTACTTCCCTACAGTCTAATCGAAAATAAGATTACTATCGAAATACTACTAATCGAAAATAAGATTAATATGTAAATATATATAATTTCTTAATAAAATTTCCAACAAAGCATAATTATTCAACAAGTTATATATTAAGGAGATTTTACGTAAGTTAATATCCAGAATTTTTGAGCAAAGTAAGATAAAGTGCTTGAACTAACCGTAGTACCACAGTAGAATTTACCAGTAATATTTTCCTTCTAATTTTTGCTAGTTATCATCTTGGAACATTTTTAAGCCTGAAAACCATGCCTTGCCATTTTGAGTTATAAATTGCAGAACATTTAAAAACATAAGGTTTTAAGTCTTTTTTTTTTCCAAATTTAAAACTTCTAAGCAGTGGAGACTTTTAAAATTTGCATTATTACAGTTTTTATGAATTCTGAGAAAGATATGTTATTCCTATATGAAATTCTGTTCAATTGTACTGACATCTTATAGGAAAAAGGAATAAAATTTTCTAGTTGTTTACAACTTTGAAACGGGAATTCAGTTTCTCTTCTTTAACTGATAACTTACTAAATAATGTTCATTAAAAGTTCCAGGGTACTTTAATAGAATTTCTATAGGTGTATAATTACTATATCGTTGGATATTATTACCATAATTTTGTAGAGAAATGCCACAGCGTTTATGATTCAAAACATTAAATTTCAGTATTAGCAGCATATCTAGTGGGGAAGCTATTTGGTGATTTTTTTTTTTACACTTGAGTTTGAAAATTCTATTTTATTGAATTGATCTTCCGTAATATTATTAGTCTTCTCTTTTTCATCTTTGTAGCAACCTGTTTTTATAATTTAGGATCAATATTAATTTTAAGAATTAACAATGCAGGTGAAAAACAGTTTGCAAGAAAGTAACAGTAGTGCAACAGATGCTCTCCCCTTTAGTCAAAGAAAGCGTTGACGAATTCCTGCAACTGCCCCAGAAATAGCCTCTTACAAGGATTGCCATTCCCTTCTCCCTTTCTTCAGTTGCAGGTTTAAAGAAAAAAAGAGCGAAAAAAAAATATTCAAGCTATTTTAAATATTAAGCATTTTTAAATTAAAATTCATGCAAAATTAAAAGTATTCCATCAATTATGTTCTTGAATTATTTTAGAACACAACTCTTTATTTTGAAAATTACTGTCAAAACCTTAAATTTTGGTGTAGAAAATATTAAATAATCATAAATAAAAATGTGTCGAATTGCAATTTATCTAATCCCTTAATTTATTTAATTATTAAAAATAAAAATATAAAAACAATTATCTTATAAAAAATACTTAACAATCATCTTATTCTTTATATGTAAAATTAGTTTGCATTTACTTCCATTTTAACTCCACTTTTCCCCAAAGCAAGCGATTACAAAAAAATAGTTTTGAAGCCTTCAGTTCATAGTTCAGAAGCCTTCAGCCAAGTTCATTTATCAGTTTTGAATGAATAAGACTGGAATTTGAAACTGTTCCTTCGTTTGATGCTTAGCTGTATGTTGACCTACTAAACTATTATAACTAAAACTGCAAGCCCACCTCTACAATACTTGAAACTGCAACCAAACATTACATGAAACAGAAATATTTGTTAATTGGCTAGTAATTTTTTCTATAAATTATGTTTTAATACTTCTAAAAAGAGCACATAAAAATTCTCCACTTCAAAGAATTTGTTTATATTTAGGATTTTTTTTTTTTTAGATATTTTCAAACAACTTAATAAAATCATGCAATTTAACATTTAAAAAAGAAACCTCTGGCTTCCTAGGAATAGGTTTAATTATTCCAGCACTTCTACTAGGAGGTAAAGCTGGAGGTGGAAGTTGCTGATTTCTTGGTGGAGTAGCTGGCTTTTTTTCTTCTCCAGGTATTGGTGGCAAAGGTTTACTGGGTGGTGGAGGATCAGGAACAACTGTTTTTTGATAAATATAACCCATGTTTAAAAACATACTCTATGAATCAAAAAATTATATTTTACAGCTCACCATGAAGACAATTATTAAAAATTTAACCTAAAAATCTGAAATGGTTTAACCTAAGTAACCTTAAATGACTCTGAAGCCATTTAAAATAATTTTGAGAAAAATAGTTTTGAGAAAAAATAATTTTGAACGAAAAATTTGTTTCTGTAAATATGTTTGTTTAAAAAATTTAATTTATTTACAATATTCAGGGGTAATTGTGAGCCCAACTCCAAAATCCTGAAAATTTCATGAGTAAAATAATTAATGACACATTTCAAAAAATTAATGTCTTTATAAATTTAAATCGTTGATATTTACAAAACATGAAATTCTAAATAAATTATATGCAGCAAAATTTAAATGAATAATTGTGTATAAGTTTACTTTTATCTCTAATTAAATTTATTATTCTATCAGAAAAAATATTTACAAATGAAAGAGATGCCAAACATTAGTTCTAGTTCTAATATGTTTGAATAAAATATACAAGAATTTTTATGCATAAATGTGATCAATGATTTCTTGAAACTTCAGGACCTTGGATTTGCAGAAACTACCGGATTTTTTCCGGAGCACAATCATCCCTGAATATTGGTCCATTCTCTAACGATCACAGTGTCAGAAAAAAAGTTTTAAATGCAAATATACCCTTTTTCAAATTAACAAGCAATATTTAAATAAATCTATTTCAATATTATATATTTAAAGAAATAATTTGGACGTCTTTCCCTTCCATTTTTAAAATAAATGTATTTATATGGTTACATTTCTTTCCAGATTTATGTAAAAAATTTCAAATTTTACACAACTTATATAGCCACAAATACTCTTGATAAGATTTATTTTATTCAAAAATAATATTGCAGAGATAGAAAAATAACACAGTTTTGGAGCGAACAATTCCATGAGCAAACAATAATTTGGAGTGAACAATAAGAATTTTTGTGATTGTTTAATTTTAAATAAAACACTTTATTTTGTATAAAATTTCATAAAAGCTAACTATGTTTGCAGAACAAAGATTTTTTTCAGAAAGAAGTGTCGGTAAATTTTCAATTGAAAATGAAGCATTTTGAATTGAAATATAACATTGTGTTCAGACATTTTTAGGTTTCTTAAATAACTCTAAGGAACATTCTTTTTCGTTTTCTGTTGCATAAGATTTTTAAACAAATCCTTACTTTTGTATTGCTGATTTCAAAGCTGCAATCGGTTTCTCTTTCCGAGCAACAGACTTTTCTTAAAATGATATTTTTAGTCTATTTTTTGGATACAAATTTAAAAACATTATATATAACAGGGGGTCATGTAAATGCAGCAACAAACTCTTAGGAGAGTTAGAACACACCATCATGATTATAATTGCATAGGACCAAAGCTTGGATATGACGTCATACGCCACTAGGGGCGCGTTCTTATTATGAACTGTTTCTTCATGTGTTTCTAAATAGGTCATTATAGGCATAAAAAAAAACAGTTCTGTGATGCTAATAATTTTTTTTGGAACTTTCAAAAGAAAAGAAAAAAGACAACCTTCTCAAAACTGTGAAATTAATAATCCTGATTTGTGTGTTAGATGTCAAAACACACAAAACTTTTATATCAAGAAAAAAAAGTTGTATGTACTAAAAGATTAATTCCTATTCTGAGATTGAACAAGCTGAGAACTCTTAAGAAGGAGTTCTGTACATTTATAAAATAAACAGATGATCCCTCTTATTTTCTCTGGAACCTTTTATAGTTCTTTGAGTTTCTCTAATGGAGAATCGAATCACTAGTCTAAGATTTATCCAGATCAGGACAAAGCCACCTGAATCTGTAACTCTGTGCACTGACTCCAATCTGTTGAAAACAGCCATATTTAAGGGTGATGCTTTAACCAAACGTCATCAACAGTTAAATCAAAATATAAGTCAAAGACTAAATGTTTTAATTTTGTACTATTTTGACATAATTCTGCCCAAGCTAGGACCACTTTGTTGGGAAAGATACAGTAAGTATGAAAGCAAATTACTTTGGTTGCTAAAAGTGTATAGGAAAAAAGTGAATTAGAGAAAATAGTGCCAAAATATAAGATTTTTCAATACAAATTTTAATTTAAATAATATTTAGTATTGCAGAGATTTAATAAAAACCTATTAGTCTTTGAGGAGGTACAGGTGGACGAGGAGGAGGTAAAGGTGTTTCACAAGCTTGATAATTTCCAGATGGTGTCAAAGTCCTACTGTCATCTTGATAATTTCTTCGCAGAGTTGAATCAACTTCTGCTAAATTTCTTGAGCTAAACAATTTTTTTTCACAAATTATTTTAACAGAAAAGACATTTATTTTAAAAGAAATGTATTTATATACTACAAAGATAAAATTACACAAATACAGCATGAATAAAAACTTTAAGGCCAGTAAAAAAATTTGGGGAAAATGAAAATAAAAGGGGTTTAAATATCATTAATTCTTAAAGTGCATTGTTAAGAAATAACGTTACAAACAAGATTTGCAATTGTATAATTATCGGAAAAAAGTGATATGTACAAAATTAGAATTTCAAACTGAGTAAAAACTTTAAGGCCATTTTTCCAAATTACATCAAATATTCTTAATTACATGGATAAAACTATCTTTGAGTTTGTTTTATACCACTTGTCTTCGATAGTAGAATTCAACTTAATTGATTATGTAAAATATCTCCTATTTGCATATACTCTTTGTGCTAAGTCACTCCATGAGTTCTCAATTAAGTTGAAATCTGGAGATTTAGCTGGTCATTTCAAAATTGTTAGGCTTGAAACCAATTTTTTGTCTGTACCTTGAATGAATAGCTGTGTTGCCTTAGTGGTATATCTATTTTTTTTCTTGCAAGAAATTCTGCATTTGATAAAAAATAAATTACTATGACATTTTTAAAAAGCTCATGAATTTCATTTTCATTTGCCCAAATAAATTCATTCAATTCATTTTGCCCAAAATAAATGCAGTTAAACTCACACTTTTAAGAGACAAACATCCCCAAACCATCACAGAACCTACACCTAATGGGTGCTTAGAAAATGCAATTGAACCTACACTTTTATAAGACAAACATCCCCAAGCCATCACAAAACCTACACCTAATGGGTGCTTGGAGATTATTTTGCTTTCTTTTTTTTTTACTCATACCAGTAGAACTTCCATCAATTCAATTTTTTTCCCATCAAAAAATTACTTGAATCCATTGGTCATGACTTGCACAATGAAGTTTAAATGCTCTCTTTTGGGCCTCTGAAGCAACCCAGGTTTAGTCAATATTTGCTGCAAAAATGAATCTGTGTTATGCATCATTTTTCGACAAACATTTAAATGTGCCACTTGAATAAGTTTCCTTATTGAGTATTTCCCAGTAGATGCAAGTCTATTAACTCTTCTTTCATCATGCGAGAACATAGCTATAGGACTTCCCCAATATTCTTTTAACCATAATTGCCTTTCGATTTTTAGAAATTGTTAAATACAGTCTTTAATCTTCCTGTCTTTATCATAATATTATGGCTACACATTCCTGCTGGAGAAAAAGCTTCCATCTGTTCTCGTTCATGATCAGTTAAATTCTTACTATTCATCAACTTCACAAAGAGCACCAAAGCTTTGATGAAATGTATGGCAAATTTGCAAATAGAAATGATTTTACAGTGTTCATAGCTAGCATAATATTTAAGCTAGTAAATATATTTTACCTTAAAAATTACAGGTGGCTTTAACGCTTTACTCGGGCTGAAATACTAATTTTGTGCACACCACATTATTCTGGTAACTTCAAATCCTGTTTGTTGCGATATTTTTACCTATATACTTTAAGAATTAATAATAAAATAAAAGGGATTTAAACATCATATTTTTTTGATTTTCTTAAATGCTTTTACTGGCCCTTATTTTATCAAACTTTACTACATACATATAATTACATAATATTTTTTAAACTTACCTTTCAGAAATGTAAGACACAGTAAAAAAGTTATTGTTCATTTAATGAGGGAAATAACAACACAGTACCCATATTGTTTTGATAGAGAAAAGACAAACTAATCTCATAAAAATTACTTAAAAATAATGCCTGCAACTTAACTAGAAAACTGATTCAGTTAAAAGCTTTAAAATACTAAATGTATGACAAGACCAACTATTTAAGCAAATCGAAAGATAAATTGAACACATATTATCTGAAGTTACAACAAACAAATTATATATCTTTATAATCTTAATAGTTAAAATAATTTTTACATTGAAATTAAAACTTTGTGTAAGATAGCAATTCTTTATTTTGAGGACATCAATTTTAGTAAAGAAATAGCAATGCAACTGAAACATTTTTTTTTTCAATTATCCTAAGAAACTTATTGGGAATTAAACATATTTTTATATAAAAAAATTTCTTTCATTTCATATTTTAAAAAAAATTAAACACATATAATGAATGTTTCAATATACATAAAACAACAATATTAATTTCATAATACCTTTGTAAAGGAATCACATCATCATCTTCTCCATCACTTCCACTATATTTATAATCATCAACATCTCTTTCATCTCCTGTAAAAGAAAGATTAACATGCATATAACAAGAAAAAACTTGAGCAATGACACAGTTAAAAATGCTTTAAAAGATAAAATATTCCATAAAATTCAAAAGTTTATTTTAAAAGAAGATAAATAATTTTAAAAAAACTATTTGTAAATTGAACAATTTAAAGAGAGTAAAGGTTTTATGTGCAGTATAACATTTTAGATTGATCTCAGTACAGAAAAAAACAAAACACCTAATTATATTTTCTATAGATACAATATTCCATAAAAACTAGTTTAAAAATATGAACTGTCAATTCCATTTCTACTTTTTTCTTTCTTAAAAGAAAGTCGTTTCAAAAATGGGCATTTAGCAAGTTTTGTGTATCCTATCAAAAAGGGGATTACTCTAGAACAAAGGTGTCAGGAAATATAAACTTAAAATATGTTAAGCTATTCTTAAAATAGAAACTGGTAAATTAGAAATCAATTTGTAGTGTTAAATAAGAAGATAAATATTGCACCACAAGATATGAAATTAAAATTGTATCCTTGGATAATAACAAATAATGCCTCCAAAAACAATTATGAATCAGATTTTTATTTTAGCTTTAGATCATATAATCATAATTTTTCTTATTATAAAGGATGATTCTTTTTTCATTGGAAGCATGTAAATATTTATTCGCTTTTTAATTAAATTCTTGTTAAAACTTTTGACATTACCAAAGATTGCTTTTTTCCTTTACATAAAATGAAACAAGTTCTACCTTTATTTTTGTTACAGCTAAAAATGCTAATTTTTCATTGCAAACTAGTAATTAGAAATATAAATGAGAATTTCTAGTTACAAGTTAATATTTTTGATGTTTAGGCAAACTCCCAAAAAAAAAATCAACCTCACAATATTAAGTCACTACAATGAGCATTATCTATATATTAGCTGTAAGAGCAAAGATAAGAATTTTTAGTGAGCAAAAATAAGAATTATTTTGGATATAACTTTTCAATTTTTTAAAGGATTAAGCACCTATCAACCTCAGAAAATCAGACTAATAAGTCACTTTTAACACCATTAATAAATTTTCGTTAAATTATGTTTTAGAATTTAAACTTAAGTTAGGATTTATATATTGCCACACATGGTCCCTACTTTAGTATTTTGATCAAAAGCACATTTTTCTAGATATTTAGCATTTTTCAGAATTTCATTACATTAAGCATACAATGATATACAAAAATAGAAGGACAGTATAAAAATTAATTTTATCACCACATATTTTATGGAAATTACTAACCTTTCTTAACTTTCCTACATCTATCTAGGTGATCTTTGAGTTGAATTCTAACTTGTCGTTCTGTTGGTTGATCTCGAAGGAATGGGTGCTTCAGTAATTGATCAGTATAAGGCCTTTGCTGATAATCTTTAACTAATACAGTTTCAATAAAACTATGGAACTTCTTTGCCCATTTTTTAGACTTAAGGCGAGGAGGGGGATTACGAGGAATAAGAAATAATGCTCTCATTGGATGCATATCACAAAGAGCTGAAAGAAATTTTTAAAAAATTATTTTTATAAATTGTATAAGTGAAGAGTTAAAGTTAGGAGCATTTACTTTGGTACATTGAGCATTATTTAAGAGCTGTAAAAAGTTTTGATGTAATCAGAAAATATTTTTGGGTTAATAATGTGATTAAAAGAACAAAAAGATAATAAAATTACCAGTGTAAAATGGTTTTATTTGTTAAATTAAAATACACTGTAACTAAATAAAGTGTTACATAGTTGATATATAAGTAAAAGAAAGAAATTAAGAATAAGTAAATGTTCAACATTCAATGTTTTATAACACAGTTTTTTGTACATAGGTGCAACACTCAAGTTTAAGAAATGATGGAAAAAATATTCTTTTAGCAGCAAGTCTTGCGAATTTGTGAACAATGCATTAGTGTCTTTACAATTAGTCGTTTTACCTAATTGTTCTAACAATAATTCCGATTTCCAATTCATCATTATTTTATCAAAATTGAAATTAAAGCATAATCTCAAATTACCTCTAATCAATCTACAATAAATTTACTCAGGTCTTTGAATTCTTATTGTGTTTAAAGTAATTTTGAAGAAACAAGTTAAGATTGCATAACATACAATTACTTTGATTTCTGAAAATTGAATCTTAAAGATTGATACAAAAATTGTTTTAATCTTTTTGGCATGTATTTTTGAAAACTCTAGTTTGGAAATATCACAGGCACGAGAAATAGAGAGCAAAACATCATCCTTTATTTTTATCATAATTTAATTATGAAAGGGGTTAATAATCACACTAAAATGCAAAATTAAAGCAAGAATGACAGTGTTATCTTTTAAATACATGATCAATATGTTCTAATCACCAAGAAAAAGAGAGTATCCTAATTTAAGAAAGTATTTAATTGAAAAAAATTCCAAATATTATCAGAATAAAATTTGGAATAAGTTTCAGTATTTATAATTATATCTATTGACTTACATTTACATTTAAAATGAACAATTTACTTCCGACCTCAAAAAGTTTACATCCAACACAGACATAAAATAATTTAAAATTAATTATATATGGTATTAGATTTTTTAGAAACTATCTGAATTATTTTATTTAAATGTAAGCTTCAAAATTTAATTGCGTTTAAAATTAAGTTCCAAACCAATTCACAGAATTTAAAGGAAACATAACAAAGTAATCATATTTTAACTTTGTGTGATTTACGTCTGATACCAACACTTTAATCTATTTAAAGTGAACTTATTATCAGATTTTATAAAATAAATGATTTTTTGTTAGAATATAGTGAACTAAGCATTTTAAATACAAATTCAATAATTGCAAGTTTAATTTATAGTTCATAAATGAAATTGTTCAAAGAAATTTTTGCTTATTTTTTACGTTTGACACCATAGAATTGCCCTGGACATGTTAATAAGGGTAAATCACTCTTATCCACATGCCTTCAACACTCCTTATGAATTGATGCCAAAAAACAGCCAGAACTTAAAAAAGGTATTTTGGCAATATTACAAACCATTTACAGTATAAAACTACAAACGTGTGGAATAAACTGAATTTCATAACAAAAACATATTTAACTGAAGAAAATTTTTTATATTTTCCTTAATTTTGTGTATCATTAATTATATCTTGTCATTCTAGTGACCACAATATATTTAACTTAGGTGTAATCAATTCTAAAATATAAGTAAATAGTTCTTAACTGAATTGAAATTAAAATACTCACGAGGCTGAGATTCAGCCATTTCTAGAGCTGTTATTCCAAGGGACCACAGATCACTCTAAAAACAATTAGATTTTTAAAAAATTTACAAGCTCAATAAATAAATGCAAACAGTTATAAGATAATCTAAAAAGTAAAAACACTAGTTTTCAATTGTCTATAAAAAAAAATACAAAAACACTTTTAACAGTAAAATATGATTGATAGAAGTTCTTTTTACCAATAACTTGAGCATTTATATAGCATCCTCATTATTTTTCTTTTTAAATAAAACATTAAGTTAAAGGCATAAGTATTATTAGGCAGAGTCAGTTCTAAACACGCCCATATCTGCATGATTTTTTAAATGCTCTCTTGTGAACTGGTTAATCAGTTATACTCTATGAACTCCTTTCTCTTTTTAACTTATTACTCAGAAGGGTGGGGTTACTATGAGTATTATAAATTAAATGCTATCATGTATGTCAACTTAACCTTTAGGCGATTATAATTCTAAAATTAGTTAAAAAATCACACTTGAAATGAGGATAAGAACACAATACAAATTTCCAAAATTATAAATTGTAGATAAGAAAATTAGTTTTAAAAAAAACTACAAAATATATTTTTAAAAAGAATACTTCATTGAGCATTCAGTTAGCGTTTCCTCATCCCACTCCCAGAAGCAGAATATTTTTAGATGTTCTGCAACAGGACTTATTTATACAAATGTTCTGCAAGCATTTCACAGCAAAAAAAAAGTCAGCTTTACCTTAAAATACCATATTTTCATTTATTAAAATACAGGATCATACGCAGATACTCTACATTATTTTTAAATCAAGGCAAACATTCTTGATTTGTTACGTTTTCAATCACTTTCGAGGTGTAAAGTTTTGTTAATGACGATGACTTATTAATAAATTATTATCGCAGGAAAACGCTGTCACTTATTCAAGATACAAATTGTTCAGCAGAACTTCCTTTGTTCTGCGACGTACGTCACAGTTTTAGGCACTTTCTGCTTCTGGGATCCCACTTATCAATGAATAATTTTTTCTTAAAAAATGATGTGCTGTATCATGTTTAATAGCTACTATTTCAAAGTTATTTATAGATACAATTAAAAAAGCAATATTCAACATATTTACTTACTAAGAAAGTCAATAAAAATAGCAATAATTCTGACACTAAAAAATAATAAGCTGATTTTTAATGAAATCTTAACGAATGAATGAATAAAAATAATAAAGAGAAAATTAACTAATATGTAACAAAAATAAGCCTAAAAATAATTGCCAAAAACTCACCCTGTTATCATAAGTAGCATCAGGGTTTTCATCACAAGCAATTACTTCAGGCGCCATCCTAAATATAATAATCAAATATTTTCATTCATTGTTGTACTATATTAATTTTGTGTTTTTATGTAAGTTACACAATTATTGTGATTTTAAGTAGGTTAAAAAAATTTTTAACTCTGATATAAAGACAGTCTTATTTTCTCCTATAATTGTAACAATTTCTCTTAATCCGAAATCATTTTAAATCTGAATCCAATATTTCACCAATATCACTTTCATCAATGTTAACTAAGTGACGATATGTTTAGTTCATTAAAGAAGTTACTAGCTTATTCAACTAACCTAAAATAATTGAACTAATAAACAATCAGTATTTTTTTCTCAAAAACACAGTGTTTAAATATTTAGCAGTTTGTACTGCTAAATTGTACTAATTTTTAGTACTATATAGTAAAATCCTTGTAAAAGGTTTAACTACTTTCGCAAAAGTAATTCACAATTAAAAAATGTAAGAGATTCTATATTTTTTTTCTTCAAACAAGGTTGGAAAATTTAAACCTAAACCAACTAAACTACGAAGGAATCAGAATTTTCCAAAAACTATAGTTGACTTTTTAGAATTGGATTTCATTTTAATTTCACAAAATAATAATAGGACTTAATGGGGTAATGACACAAGAGTTTATAAACAAAATCTGCTATAGGATGCCAAACATAAACAATATTTCAAGCTGTAGGAAAACTTAAAAAACAATGTGGGCAATTCCTAAGGTCAATCAGATGACCAAAATTTTAAACTTAATATTTTTTAAACAAACAAGATTTTATTTTCAAGGTCAAACTTAATATTTTTTAAACAAACAAGGTTTTATTTTCAAGGTAAAACCTGAAGATTCAGAAATAACTTTTAACTTATAAATAACCGTTTGCTATAGGCTGTTAAATGAAAGTCTAAATAATTTGAAATTTTTAACCACAGCAAGTTAATCTCTAACAAGTACAGTTTTTCTTTTTTAAAAATTCATACTAACAACAGAAAATGGAATAAATAATAATTAAAATAAACTATATCACAACAGGTTATCTTGCACGAATGTGTAGAAACTATTTACATTTTGATTTACAAAAAAATTCCCAAGATGCACTTTTGATATTTTACGTCCAACACCAAAATGCATAATTAATTGTACTGTGCCACTAGGATTTAACAGTTAAATTATGATTTCTGTTTAAAGCAAGATTCTATGTCTCATTTGTATAGTCCATTTAGATGAGAACAATAAATATTTTTACTGTAAATTCATAATTATTTTTATGTTCGACACCACTCCTTTATTTTCATTACATTTGTTTTCCACTATTTTTATCTCTTATTTCGCTTTTTCTTCATAAAATGATGTGAAATATGAATAGAAATTACCTTCATTTTTATTTTAGATTAATTTAGAATAGTGTATTTCACTTCAGTAACCTAATAAAATCTGCTTAACTATGATCATTGAAAAAGATTTGACACCTTTAAATCAACGTAACTTGTCTTCTCTAAAAATAGACTGGTAACACAATAAACATTCTATTTTTTTTATAAAACTTTATCAATAAGTTATTGCATATCTACTAAACAATTTCGCAATCATTTAGTGGGCAAAGCTAAGATCATAATAAGCAGTATTAAACAAAAAAAAATGAATAATAATAATAAGTATTCTGAAAACCTGACTATATTCGTTAAATATGTCATGAAAAAGAGAGAGGTTAGTTTCTAAAACAAACAGTTTAAATAGGAATAAATACTAATAATAAACTTTAAAAATAATATGTAGTTTCCAAAATGTATGAAAATAGTCAAATCTCTTAAGAAATATGCATAAATCTAAAAATGCACTTGTGAAATTCTTTCAAAAAATATTGGTATTCAATAAAATAATTCTGAACTTGACACTTTCCCAAATTTATCCCCTGCCTTACTCCCAGGGGTTGAAGTTGAGTTTCATATCATAAAATGCATCTTTTGAAAATATCTAACAAATTAATTGTAAAATCTGATAAAGACTTCAAGATTCCATACTTTTCAGAGCTAATAAATCAACATTCCAGAATAACATTTTTGAAACTTCTTAGAGGGTTGCAATCATTAAAAAATATGCTCTCCATTGTTATAAAGTTGTATAAAAACAAATAATTTCATTAATAAAAATGGAAAACAAAATCTTAAAATTAGCTTTAATTATTTTAAATGTATGCATGAAAAGGATGTGTAAAAAAATAAATAAAAAAAGAAACAAAATTATATTTAGATACATAATACAAACAAAACTATGTATTAAGGAAACAAATTTAACACAAGTACAGAATATTAAAATAAATAAAAAAATGTTTTTGCTTTCTTAGAAACTGAATAAAAATAAAGATTTTGAATAATTAAACCACTATTTTAAAATATACTGCAAAAAAATTTAACATAATAATAAAAACTCAAAAATATTAAAATTAGCAATAATACTCACCAGTAGGGTGTACCAATAAATGTATTTCTTCTTCCGATTGTGCGATCAAGTTGAGCACTAACTCCAAAATCAACTAAAAAAATTTATATATACCTTTACTATCAAATAAACAATTGGATAGTTTTTATTGAAAATTAGACAGAAAATAGGTTGATCTAACACAAAGAAAGCAATAATGTAGCAGCTTTTTTATACCCATGATTGAGTGTCATACTCATTGGAATCAGAACATGAAACAATTAGTTAATGATGTTCCATCATATTTAAAATTAAAATTTTAGATAAAAAATTAGGTAATTTTAGCACTCTGTTAGTCTCATCTTTTTCAAAGAACTTTTAGCTACAGAATTTCCTGCATTAAAAATACCAGTTATCTATGAGAAAATAGGGCGTAGCCAGGCAATGCCAGAACAATTTTGCCCAGAGATTTGATCATTGTAAGGTTAGAATCCCTGTAAAATACTTGTGCTTTAACATTAAATATTTTTCTATTAGTCATAATTTCAAGAGTCCATAGTTTAAAAAATTCAAAGTATTTTTTGTCTCCCAAGCATAATATCCCAAATATAATTGAACACTTAAAAATAAAATAAATACTATAGTTGAAAAAATAGGGGTAATGACAAACCCTATTTCAGCCATGGCTCTAAGAACAGAAAGAAACTAATAATTTTTTAGAGAAACTTATCCTAACTTTCTCTAAATATTTTACTCATGTTATAAACAGATTTCATAATTTGAAGTTAAAACTAATAATAAATTCAAACTTAAGTTAAAAAAATGAATAAAAAAAGAAATTTTTTTGTAGGTAGTACTCTCAGAAGTTTCATTGGGTGGTGCAACCAAAGAAAATATTCAAAAATCATGCAAAAATACTTTTCTTTTGTATTTCTGAAAAGTATTTTTATATTTGGGAAACAAATAATTTTGCAAATAATTTAAATATTAATTAAAGCTACTAAACAAACAATTTTGACAAACATTTAAACATAAAAAATGCAAAAATCATGCTTTATTAAAAAACAATACTTAAAATAAAAAACAGTACTAAACATAAACAAAAAATAATAACAGTTAAAAGTAAAATATAATTTTAATTTATTGAATTTTGAGGGAGGTGCAAGGGCATCTTTTTAACCCCTCATGCGACCACCCTTTTTTTTTTTTTTTTTNTTTTTTTTTTTTTTTTTTTTTTTTTTTTTTTTTTTTTTTTTTTTTTTTTTTTTGTCTGTCTGTCTGTCTTTTTTCTTTACTATCAGCCATTATCTAAATTTTATGTGATTTTAAACATTTTGGCAAATATTCCTGGGCATGAAAGTGTTGCAAATAACAATTTTAAAAAAAAGTTACTATTTTTTAAGAAGATTTAAACTATAAGTTACCAGATTCCGTTTTACAGATAACTATTTTAAAGCATATACTTTGTTTTAAAAGAATAAATTAAGTTAATTTTTAAAAATATTTTGAAAATAATACAGCTTTTAACAAAAATGTTTGCTTCAAACAATATTTTAGTTTATGTAAATAAAAAAAATAGAAGAAAACATGAATATTTCAATTCATTTTAGTTTGGAATTTTAATAGCTCAATTTTTTTCAAGTAGCATAACTGATCTGAGTAACAGGAAATTCACTAAAACATTTATTATTTTTGCTAGATTTGCCATACATATCAATTTTTGCTATCATTCTGTTCATAACTGATTCAACAGGTAGACCAGAATACTAAAGCAAGAAGGCAGTATTTTCAATTAGAAGGAAGAGGATATAAGGCTTTAGCATGGCTGTGTGGTATAAGCAAAATTTTAATATCAAAAACATTTCATTGGACTTGGTGTTATCAAATAAATATCTATAGGAAAAAGTACTAGCATAAAAATAAAAGCAATCATTAAACAAGAGATAATTTTATTTATAAAATATAACAAGAAAAAAATTTTTGAAAAAAAAAATTATTTTTAACTTCAAAGTTTTTATTTAACTATATAGATTAAAAACAAAACAATACTTTCAAAAGTGTTTCTGCAGTTAATACAAATTAGCTATTTATAAAAGAATCATTTTATAAATAACTGCTTAATTAACATTGTTATAGTGACAAAAAAGTAAATGAAGAGATAAATATGACAAAAACAGCTAATTTCAAACGATACAAATTTTAAAATAAAGCAAAACTAGTTATAAAAAATAATTTACAGCAAAAAATGTACAATACTTAATGTTGAAAAAAAGTATATTTACCCAATTTAACTTCAGCATTATCTGTTAAAAGAACATTTTGTCCTTTAATATCTCTATGAATGATCTTGTTTGCATGTAAATGACTTAGACCCTGAAAAAAAATGTGGGCATTATACTATATTCTATAAGTAAGTTTCAAAAAAAAATTAACACAAGTGTTCTCCATTTGTTAACAGGTATGTAATATGTTTTCAATAACATTAATAACCCGTGTAGTAAATGGTGACTGATGCACGTTAAATCTGTCGAGTCTCAAAGTCCTCCATGTTCCCATAACAAATCAATACCTCTGGGGGTACCGATACAGAAGTTTCCTTGTCTTCTGGATTGGTTCAAAATTACAAGGCTACGGCGTTGAACATTTGTAGTCGTAAACCCAAAAATTGGGTCGACTGTTCAACGGCGGTCATAAAATAAAATAAAATAAAATAACATTAATAAGAAGAAAACAAAAATTAAATATTAAAAATAATGTAAAAGAAATATCTTAAAAAATTTTGAGATACTTTAGAATTTAACTATTTAAAAATAAAATTTTTATTTATTTCAAAAATCGAGTTTTTCAAAGGAATGATCCTCTTTATCCTAAAAATACAATTTCTGAACCCCACACTTAATTTTCTTAAAAGCATGAAATCCATTCCAGCATGCAAAAAAGTGAGTTCAAAACCATTACAGATATTTTATTTCAGCCAACTGGGAAAAATATTTATATTGATGACAATATTTGATAAACATAAAACAAAAAGAATCAGTGGGTCTGAAATTAATTTCTGTTATTGTAGATTTGTAAATACATTTGTATTAACCCTTTCTGACAACACTATTAATATATTTATAATGCTATACTTCTCTTTCAATGCTTATTATGCGTGTAAAATTTATTTTGTAACATGTGTACCTATTATTAAATTAATGATAAAATATATAAATCATTCTGTACAAGAAAAATGACTATCATCAAGTAACTCAACATGATAGCAGATCAATTAAAGAGGATTTGGATTGCTTATTTGTGAACAGCATTAAAAGATATGGTTTACACAAAAAGCAAAGAGATTGAGATACCTCTATATTCAACAAACCGGATTATTTTAATTAAAGGCAGCTGCCCCCCCCCCAAAAAAAATCTTTTTAAAAAAAAGCTCCACCCATATTCTAACAATTGTTTTAATTAAAATTAGATTAAAAATATTAAATTTATAAAATTAAAGAAATTTTAAAAAGCTAGGAAATAAGTGATGCCCATTATGGCATGACAATAATCTGTTCTAACTAATTAGCATATTTGAGATCACCCTCTCTAAACACTAAAATTAAGTCGAAAAATCCAATCAAAAGTTACTCAGGGTGAAACGTTTTCTTTCTTGGGTGATATGCATTGACCATAAGTTAAAAGCTATAAAAGGTGGGATTTAGAGTACTACAATTATTTAAACCTGATAATTAGTGACTTTTTTTCAAAACTAGCGACAGGGAGAGAACAACTATTAATAGAAACTGCAACGATATTTTAAAGCTATAAAATGCATATTTTACTGTGTTTATTTCCAAATTTAGAAATTCATTACTTTTTTTTAAAACTGCAGATTGAAAAAATTGCATTTTTTCTTAATAATTTGATGATCAGCAAATAACAAATCAGTTCTATACATTTTAATAAATACAAATTGGAATCAAGAAAATTATTTTTTAATTTTTCAGGCTACTCACCCTCAAAATTTCACGACAGATATAAGCAATCCATTCTTCTTTTATTGGTTGTCCTTTAGTAGCTGGGAATTAAATCATATAATTTAAAATCATGCACATTTGGCTTGCCCAATTATAAGAAATAAAACTGAACTTTGATAAGCAATTTACTTACATTTTACTAAATCAGTTACAGATCCAGCTCCACAATACTCCATGACCAACTACAAAGTAAACATATTAATTGAAAAAGTATAGGTATTTTATAGAAGGCAAACGATTTCTCATAATTAATCCCATAAATTATATATGTTGAGTTAGTTCATTTGCTTAAATTTAATGGCACATGAGTTAGATGCAACTATGCTCGGTCAATTGACCGAGAGAGGGAATTTTCACTTCACTGAAGGCAAGAAAAATAAAAGGAAGAAAGAGCACTAAAGCACCTTGAGGTCATATTTATACATATAATTTATCTTTCAGTACTCTCAAACACCATCTTTTTGACCATAGATTACTTCTAAGACTACTTACTCTAATGAGTAGGAGGCCTTGTCCCTCTTTCTTCGTTTTTAGAGAATTCAAGAAACTTCACATTTATTGATCACAATATTAAAAGAAATAGTGGTTTGAATGATTTCCAGAAGACTTTTAGCTAACCATTAACTTATCATCAAAAGAAAATTGGTTATTTTGAAAGTGCAAAAATGTTTAGCCCTAGTTTTTGGAGCAATTCCCTGAAAATTAAATTTTTAAACTTTTTCATGGTTATGTTGGAATAAGAGTTGCAGTGGCTTAGTGCTTAAGGCACTCAATTGTCAATATGAAGGACTGAAGTTTCATTCCCAGTCGCAGCTTGAAGTCTACTAAGCTTCAGATCAATGGGTAGCTTAACTGGATAAGCAAATTCCAGCTTAACTGGAAAGTAAAAGTGACTTTTAAGCAATGATGACCACATTGCATCAATCATGTTGTTAGTCTCAAAAGTTTGGAACATAACCTCTGCGACTTCTTGTGGCCCACAATGGGCTGCTGCCAGAATATTTTTACTTATATTGGAATGGATGGCCCAAAAAATAACATTATGTTTAAGGTGTAGCAAAGAGCACTTCATGTATTAATCATTATTATGGAAGGTAGGCAGTAACAAGCGTTAATATTTAAGAGTGTAACCTGAATGCATTTACATATATATAAGATTACAATTATAACTTTTTAATTTTCTTTTTCACACCTTTTTTAAGCTAATTTGGCTCTTCACGGTTCATTTTACAAGGCAATAAAAATCTACACTTTACAGAAAATCTTATTTTCTAGAATGCAACTCTACTATCAATTCCAATTTATTTATTATTTTTTTTTTTGAATTCTTTAATGCAATCAGGAATTTACTCACCAACTAACAAAAACATGTTTGGTTTTTTGATTTCATGTAAAGCTTTCATATATATATGAGCTATGCTGTCCACCACAAGGTTACTATTTTCTAAGGGGATCTTTTAATTTTCAACAGCTTAACTGTCATAATTTTTATAAGAAAATTCAACAAAATGTTATTCAAATTTTTTTTGATACATGCTTTATAAGATAATTTTTTTATTATAGTAAAAATAAGAGATATGCTTTTTTTGCCTGGCAAAAGCCCATTTAACCCCTTAACAACAACTTGACTACTACATCAAATTATGAGTTTAATCCGTTATAAAACAAATGATAAAAACAGTATTACATTGCCTTAGTATACAATATATATGGTGAGTCTCAACAAGATAGCAAAACTTAACTGGGTGAACGAACACATCTACACGAGCAATATTCGTCATAGTATGTATAAACGGAATGTATTAAAAAAAAACAAGCAGAGAGAAGTTAAAAGGTAGTTTTCCACTGTCACATTTAAAGAATTAACATAAAAATGGGAAAAGATGCTTCAGAATTTTTTTTTCATTCACAAGAAAATTATTGATATTGCTCAAAGGAAAAAGATGTAATTGTTTCTACAAGGAATTGCTTGAAGAGATGCTCAAAGAAATTGCTTGCTGTTTTAACAAATGTATGTCTATCCCTACACCAGAGGTGAGATGCCTGCATTGCAGCTGATGGAAAATCCTTTGAGAAATTTCTTTGTACATCAATAACATTCCCTCGAATAAAAAGTTTCTTACACATCTTTTCTCATTCTTGCGTTGATTCATAAAATGTGACAAAGGAAAACTACCTTTTAACTTCTCACTGCTCTAACTTGTGTTCCGATGATACATTCTACGATGAATATTGCTCGTTTAGATACATCCTATCACACAGAAAAGTTTTGCCGTCAAGTTCTTGAGTAAAAGGTTATGATTTAGTTTATATAGTTTATATGCATATTATTTTTGAAAAATAAAAAACAGTTTTATCTCACCCAAAGTTTATCATCTTTCCCAGGTAGACATTTTTGAATGAAAGCTCCATAGTAAGTTGCAATATTACGGTGATGTGAATACTGAGAAAAAAATTATTAACACATTAACAAAGATTACATGAAATATAATAATGTTTTATAGTAAAATTCATATACATTAGAAAATAATTTAAAAGTATTAAAAAAAAAACTTTAAATCTTCTTGCATTTTTGTGTTTGAAACAGTTTTAGTAAAGCTTTTACAAAGTTTTGAAATGTAGTAGATTAAATGCATTTGGAAACTAATTTTATAACTGCTGTACTTTTAGTAGTAGTTAAATAACATATACCAGTAAATTTCCTTACTCAAATTTCAGCTTACAAAATTTTGATGTGAAGCAAATAAAACAAATATATTTGAAAATAATTTTACATCACTACATTTTTACTACTTCTGAATGATGCTAAAAACATGTTTCAAAATTTGTTCAGCCACAATTCTTTTAACCCCCTAACGATCAGTTAATTTTCAAGAAAACAGTCATAAAAGTGCCTATTTTTTTATCCCTGAAACTTATATAAAAATATGTGTATGAACAATATATATATATTCACTTTTAAATTGTTTTTAGCTTGAAATTTTAGATAATTAAATTTTTAGGAAAACCCATCATTCAGGGTTACTATGACTTAATGTTGGTTTTCCAGCAAGCAAGGAAAATTTAAAAAATATGTGTTTTAAACATTAAAAAAGAATTTTATTAAACTTGCTTATAATATAAATAAAGATTAGTAATTTTTTCTTGTGTGATAAATTTCAAAGCATGAGATACAGAGGACAATGTCACAATCTGGACAGTAATATCAGGTTTCCTTCCTACATCTCTTACTACCTCTCTTTATCTACAATTACCCTAAAAATATCCTGGTACTGCCATTTGGTATGTAAAATAAGAAATAAAATATTTTCCAGGCAAAAGAAATGAATTAGTTTTGTTCTCATTGGTGCGTTATTACTGAACACTCCAGCCCAGAAATATTACGGGAGCGAGAAATAGAGGGCGAAACATCACCCCGTCATTTTCACAGGAGCGAGAAGGAAGGGGTTAAACCAATAGCAAATGAGCAGTGAGATTAAAATTTATTTAAGACTTAATCTTTTTCATGGTGAATCTCTTCAAAACTTTTCTATACTGATATTATAATATTGGTAGTTTGGCTGCAAGTGAAAGTTTATCATTTGAAGTGCATCGCTTTATTGGTCAACTAATAAAGGGAGATGAGTCAATGTTTTTTTTTTATTTATTGTTTTTTATTTATCATTTCTTACATATGTCTGAGACTTCAACTATTTCAAACTGCTACAAATTATTTTTTCAGTGGTAGTGAACTGAAACAAATTTTTTTGAAACACATTTATCAAAAATAAAAAAAAATAATAAAAAATTAGAACCTAAGCATTCATTAATATAGCCATATATATCTGTGTGCGTGCTTAAATTACTGGTGTTTAGGGGTGAATGAAATTTTCTTCATTCTAATTTATTAAAATATACATTTTTACTGGGAAAAGTATTTTCTGAAACTATGGAGAATTCATAGTAGTTGGAGTTTTTGTCATGTTATTTCTATACGTACCATGTTACAGTAAAAATCCAACTGTCCAAAATTCAACGAACCTAAAAGCTCAAATAACTGGAATTTTTGTAAATTGAGTAAAAAATTTTTTCCTTGAAATAAAATTTCTAGAGATTTTTTTAAACCAAAAAAAAAACAAAAAAAAAATCAATTGGAACATTTGAAAAACCACTGCAAAATAGTAATCAATCGCTGATGAACGAATTCTTCTCTTTCAATTTCTCTCAAACATAAACAAGCATTTAGTTCAAAGAGCACTCCAATGTGAAATTTTCTCTCCTTCAGTAAAAATCTGACATGAAAGGGAAAAAATGAGGTAAAAAAAAAAATCAGTATTGTTTTTTAGGTTGTTTTGAGTACTGACTGTTTAAAGTTTCTTTAAACTAGAGTGTAATAGGAATAAACAAATTAATACATTCAATCATGTAGAAGCTTAAGATGACATCAAAAAAAATTTAGTAGAAAAATTAGTAGATTTAATTTAGTTTTGTGCTCATAACTTGAAGTTAAAATGTGTTTTTACTTAGATAACTTAATTTGTATTTTACATGTACATTTTTAAAAGTAGATAATAAGTTTCACCTCTTTGCAGTTGCATATTTGCAAATAACTACTTTGCATAAACTTAAAAGTATTTTTAAATAAAAATTTTTGGTTTTAATAAATAGTTTGCATATTATTTTTTATTTATTTTACTATCATTTGCTAAACTAATTTTTTTTAAATTTAGTTTACTATATTCACCTTTAAATAAGTTATTCAGGTACTGAATAAATTCTCCTGATCAATAAATTTAACAATAAATTTTAAGAAGTGTCAGAAAGTGAAATAAAAAACAGAATCTAATCTATTTAAATACATTACTTTTTTTAAGACATTTATTTCTAATTTTATTTCCTCCTCTTCATCCTAAAATTTAAAAGTAATAATTAAATACAAATGTAATAAAATACAAAATAAACTGCACTTTTTGCATTGATGGATAATAAATAGGAAAATGCAAAGAAATTTATTAAGACCAACTAGTTTCAAAATTTTAGAAAACAAAAATAGACATTTTATTCTGTACATAAGATTATCGATGCACAAGAATCACACTACATTTTTAGAGCAAACAGATTTTTTTTTCTTTTTAACCTGAGAGAAACTAGTTTTGAATCAATAAATTTACCTTTGAATTCATATGGTTAAAAAGGTTTTAGAAACAGTAAATGTCTCTTTGACTAAAAAAAANAAAAAAAAAAAAAAAAAAAAAAAAAAAAAAAAAAAAAAAAAAAAAAAAATTCAGTTACAAATTAAAGTGATTTTGGTACTGAAAAAATATTGCTATGCCCTTTAATTTTGCAAGCTGACAACTTGCTGTGCTTTTTGACCTTAGGTTAATCGAATATTTGGTCAAACTGCACAAAACAGAGAAATTATACGTTAAATAAAAACTATTGAACATAAAAAATATTTACTTGGCCCATGGCATAATTTTAATGAATCCGGTGCAAATTTTGTAATAATTTAATGGAACATTTCTGCAGAGTTTGCAGTTTTAGTAAATGTGATTATTGAATCTGTTGTAAAAAGCATATAATTCTATTTAACATTCCTCAATAACATTCCTCCTAATTTCTCACAGAAGTCAGAAGGCTATGTATTTTTAATAATTTTTTTTTCTTTCAAAAGCATCAGTTTTAAGTAAACATAAAGAAAATCAACAATGATTTGAACTGTATAAAATGTTGAAACTATTTTTGCTTTAACATGCTAGTTTGCAACAATCATACAAATCTGAAACTGTTTTTGCAACTAGTAGTTCATTATTTTTTTCTTCTCANCAGCTGAACATATTTAAATAATGTTATAGTAAGTGAAATAGTTTAGTATAGCTGAAATATCATGGCTAAATATCCCATAGATTACGCTTTGAGTGGGTACCATTTTTTAAAAGACAAAAACAAGAAACAAAATTCCCTGTATTTTCCCAGTTTGCAAGGAAAAAATCAAAATTCCCTGCATTTTCCCTGTTATTTTAGGTGATTTTTAAATTCCCTGTATTTTCCAGGTTTTCCCTGTTCTCCATGTAGAGTGGCAACCCTGATATTCTATTTAACATTCCTCAATAACATTCCTCCTAATTTCTCACAGAAGTCAGAAGGCTATGTATTTNAAATTTTCTTGTCAGGTTTCTTTTCACAATTAAAAATAATTTCCACTTAAACAAAATTTTTATGCAGAACAAAGTATTTCCATTGTTAAAAACATCATGCATTCAGCTTTAAAAAAACAAATCATATGAATGGAAGAGCAAAAACCTAACTGAAGTAGCACATCCAACGAACATAAATGTATAGTTAAAACTAATTTGGTAATTTTTGAAAGCTGTAAGTTCTCTTTACAAATAAGAAAAGTTTATTCAATTTTCTGTCATTCTTATATGAAAGTTAATAAAACTATTAACTAAAGACAATTAAAATTTACATAAAAATTGCAAAAAATAAGTTACCTCAGTGACATCCATAATCTTGATTGCAGCAAGTTGTCCTGTTTTTGTATGACGTCCCTAAAATGACAACAAGAAAAAATAATAAATAAATAATCCATTGTATAGCAAATAATGTTCTAATAAAAAGACACAAATATGAAGGGGGGAAGACTATAATGAAAAAAAAAAACTAAACTCAGTGGCGCGACAGCCCATAGAGGACCAAGGCCTACTGTGCCCATCTCAGTTTTCTTGACCTTGGGCTCTGGGGTGCAGGAGCAGATGTTCCGGTCAGGTGGTCAGCTGAACGCGGAACCCCCAGTGTTTAGTTCCCAAGCATGCTTGGTACTCATTTATCGACCCACTGAAGGGATGAAAGGCTGAGTCAACCTGTGGACCGAGGACCTGTGGCACGACAGCGCGAAGCGCTACCGCTCAGCCACCGGGCGTCGAAGACTATAATGGCTTCACTTAAAAAAAAAAAACTGAATAATAGCTTTAAAAATAAATTTTAAAAAAAAACTGCTTATTCAAAGAAAATATGAGAAATAGAAAAACAATTTTGCATAGTAACTAAGTTTTCTCCAAAGAAACTTTAAATGAGCACTAAAAAAAATATATAAAAAATACCATTTAAATCTTTTTTCTTAATTTATAGAAAAGAAAAAACATTATTTTAAGATAAGATTATTGTCCACAAGATCGTTTTTTTATAAGTCATGACTTTAAAAGTTATAATTTACTTATTAAGCCCATTACTATTTATTTATTAAGCTTATATCTATTATTCTACATCTATAAAGCAATAAAAAATATATTTAGCATTTAATGTTTTGTTTTAAGAACTAAGAGGATTTTTTTTCTACATCTCTTTTTTTCAACTTCTTTACAACTTAATTTATTATTTTTTTTAATATTTGTTTGTCAGTTTCTTTTATCTTGAATATTCCTAATTGATAACTATTATAGTTTCTTTTTCTATTTAACCCACTAATAATATAGCTAAGTTAGATTATTTTTCAATAATGACTTAACTTATTTATTACTATAAAATAATATTTACTAATAATTTTTTTGGAAAAAAATGTGGTCATTTGGTCGTTGAATATTTGATACTCCACCTGTGTTTTTGGCCAAATATTCGGTATTCAGCCAAATCACTATTCATTACATGCCTAATATTTTCCTTAAAACATGGACTAAAGGTATAGAAAGAGACCTATCTGGAGAGCTTGGGACTATTAGACAGATAATTCTATTAGAACCCTGAAAATGAGTAGTGTGGATGTACCGGAAATTCTGATACTCTTTAATATTCTAAAAATGAATTAAGTATATCAACGAATGAGATATTTCAAAGGTGAGAATACTACCTTGTAAACTTGTCCATAGGTTCCATTTCCAACTACTTCAATCAATTCAAATATACCAGCAGGATCCTAATTTAAACAAACAAAAATATTCTTATAA